ATTAATTTGAAATTATAAGAATTAATCTGAAAACAATGGAATTATTATGGATTACTAAAATTTCGGTGGAATTTTCTGGAATTACCTGAATTGTTTTTGGAATTGTGGCAGACAATTTCTTTTCAAAATCACGTTGAAATTCTTAAAACTATTTTAAATTTTCATGAATTATTTTGGAATTATGGAAATTAAGTTGGAAATAAGTTGATACAGAAATTAATTTGAAATTATAAGAACTAATATAAAAATAATGGAATTACGAGTCATTACTGGAATTTCAGTGAAATTTTTTGGAGTTGCTAGAATTCTTTATGGAATTATTGGAGACATTTTTTTCAAAATTGCCTACGTTAACTTTTTTTGAAATTGTAACAGACAATTTCTTTTCAAAATTACGTTGAATTTCTTAGAACTACTTTAAATTTTATGAATTATTTTGGAATTATGGAAATTAAGTTGGAAATAAGTTGAAATTATGCTGGAGTGTTGTTGAAATTGTATTTAAAATTCAATCTGAAAGCAATGGAAATTTGAGAAATTACCGGAATTTTTGGGATTTTGGTTTAATTTTTTGGAATTACTGGAATTCTTTTTGGAATTATCCGGAACAATTTCTTCTCAAAATTACGTTGATTTTTTTTGAACTATTTCAAATTACCGGAATTATTACGGAAATTAAGTAAGTTGAAATTACACGGCAATTTATTTGGAATTATAAGAATTAATCTCAAAGCAATGGAATTACGAGGGATTACTGGAATGTCTGAAATATCAGTAATTAAGTTGAATTTCTTAGAACTATGACTAATTTTAAATTACAGGAATTGTTTTGGAATTTCGGAAATTAAGTTTGAAATAAGTTGAAATTATACAAGAATTAATTTGGAATTATAGAAATTAATCTGAATTACGACTATGGAATTACTGATGGAATTGTGGTGTAATTTTTTTGGAATTACTTTAATTTCGGTGGATTTTTTTTGGAATTGAAATCAATTGTAGGTACACATTTTTATTTTTATTTTGTTATTTTTTTGATATTTCTGTATGTTAAACATGGCCTACTTAACATTTTTCTCTTCGTATTATTTATTTCTTTGACAACACAGTGTTGCCAAGTTGACTTGTTTCCAATGTTGCCGGTGTTTGCACAGTGTTGTCTTTTTAAATAAAGCTCCCTAATTAGTCGTAAATCCGTCCAAATCGAGGCTAACCCTCGAACAAAGCCCCCATTGAGTTCCGCCAGCATCAGATTAAATATCTGGAGTCGATCGATCCTTATCTCCCTCGTTCTTCTTCCAGGTGAAAATCTGGTTCCAAAACCGCCGAATGAAATGGAGAAACTCCAAGGAGAGGGAACTGTTGGCGGCCGGCGGGTCGCGCGAGCAGACGCTCCCCAACAAGAACAACCCCCATCCGGACCTGAGCGACGCCGACGGCGACAAGCCCAAACTGGATCTGACAGACGTGCAGGATATCTCTCCCGTAAACTCGCCCGAACGGGAGGCGGGACTTCCCGTGCAGTCCTACCACTACGACGGGGTGGATTACGACAGTTCCAACGACAGCGACGAGGAGATTAACGTTACATGATCTGGTTTTTGAATACGCTAAAAAGGGGGGTTTTGTATATAATATGGTGCACTTTCACGAGTGAGAAGATTTGTTATTGCACAATCATATTTAAAGACTCGATGTACATGGACGGGATGACGAGGCCAGAAGCACTTTCAAGTATTGTAAATATTTACAAATATGTATGTTAAGAACATAAAGAGATTAAAAGACACAGTTTTGTCTCATTTTCACACTCCAATAAATAATATATCCCACAACATTCATAAAAGTGGTGGCGACATCTAGCAGCGAGTAGCCAAACTTTTACTGCGATTGTCATTAGTAATTCTAATCACAATTTCAACAAAGCGCAGAAAATTTCAGTTTTTCAAATTTATTCAAAATTTTGGTGGATTTTTGGCACCCAGAGTGGATTTTTGCCAATAACTTTTGAACTATTAGAGATACTGATTTGAAACATATGTTTCCTTGTAGATTTTTTCACGCGGATTAAATAATAAATAATAAGTAATTAGTATTAGTTTTTCAAAAATGTCAAAAAAATTATTTTTCAAAATTTTAAACGCACTTTTCTCAAAAACTATAAATCTAACTTACAAAACAAAGACATCTTCAAAATCTGCCTTTAATTATCTATCGCATGGGAAAAACTCGGAATCGATCAGAGCTATAGCTTCGGCTGGAGGCACATTTTTAATTTTTCGACTTTTTGACATTAAAAAATTCATAACTTAAAAACTATAAGTTCTAGTTGAAAATTATTTGCGCAGACGACTTTTACATAAAATTCCGGGTAATTTTCGGGCATCCAAAATTCGAACTATTTTTTCAGAATAAGAGCCAGAAAACGTTAAATATTTTAAAAACTACACGTCGTAGAGTATTTTAACCTGATTTCACGTCTAATCACCACATTAGAAGTATTGAGAGTTCAAATAATCGTATTTATCTGAAAATTGGTACATAGAGATAATTTATTAAGTCCTCCAAAATGAAAATATTTTCAAGATGGCGGCACTTCCGGTTATACCGGAAGTTGGTGTCAACTTTCTTATTTTAAATGGAAGCGTATATTTTTTACTGCGTTACTGGATTAATCGGGTTATTTTAAAGGAGTTTTTATCAGCTTTCCCTATACCTAAATTTTGCCGATTTGAAATATTTGGAGTTTTTCAAAAATTTTTGGATCTGCACCTTCCACTTTAAAAATCGGTAGCTCTGCTATTTTTTTAAATTTTGGATTCGTTTTTTTGGTGTTTGAAAGAGAAAACTTAGATCTTTCTTCTGGTGTTTTCAAATTAAAAAAAAAAGTTAACAAACCCTAAAATTTTAAGGTTACTTTTGTAATAATTTTCCATATTTTGGCACTGTTTGTCAAATAATAATTCACTGTCGATATTTATTGAAAAATAATTTTGACATTTTTGATTTCTGTGAAAACGGGTGTGAAATAAATTTTCTGTAGTCTTAACAAAAAATCACCATAACTTGAAAATTATTAAATTTATGTATAAGGAATGTTAATACAGATCGATGCAGAATTAAATTCTCTTCCATTTAGTAAAAAATTGGGGTATTTCTTTAAACAAAATTGAGTTATAGGTATTTGAATTATTACAAAAATAACCTTAAAATTTAGGGGTTTGTTAAAGTTTTTTTTTTTAATTTAAAACACCAGAAGAAAGATCTACTCTTTTTCTTTCAAACGCCAAAAAAACGAATTCAAAATTTAAAAAAATGCCAGTTACCGATTTCCAAAAATTTTTGAAAAACTCCAAATATTTCGAAAACGGCTAAATTTAGGTATAGAGAAAGCTGAAGAAAACTCTATTAAAATAACCAGATTAATCCAAAAACGGAATAAAAAATATAGCTTTCCATTTATAATAACAAAGTTGAAATCGACTTCCGGTATAACCGAAAGTGCCGCCATCTTGAAAATATTTTCATTTAGCAGGACTTACCTAATAGATTACGGCTATGTTTTCAAATTTTCAAATAAATACGATTATTCGAACTCCTAATACTTCTAATGTGGGGTTTAGACGGAACATCCTGTATAAGCAATTTGATTGAAATTGGCAAAACAGTAGGCCATGATTGTGTAAACCTCGCTTTAAATGTGAAAAAGGCTTTACATATTAAGGAACTAAATTTGTCACTAAAAAAGTGAGGTTAAAATAGTTAAAATTTTATTTTTTTCAGAGAGAGTTTTTTTCATAAAAAGTTTAACACCCTGTTTCATCCCTTTGTAAGTGTAGTTTTAACACCAAAAACATACACCTTTTGCTTTGGAGAAAATAACTTGGCTTTATTCAAATTGGTATATTTGATTCCATTGACCTAAAACAGAAACAACAAAAGAAATTGATTGTGTTTTTAAACATATCTTAGAGAAGAAAACTACTTTTAATTTTAATTTGAAAAAAATATTGAGAATAAGGAATACAAATGTCAGTTCAACAAGCCATGTAGGTAAGTAATCAAAGAAAAACAAAAACCCCATTTGCTGTTATACTAGGGACATGCGCAGGGCTACAAACTTAAATATGAAATTCCATAGCCAACCATTATGGCAATGAAATCTACTATAGAAACCCGTTTTGAAGCGTTATTTTTGTCATAACAAAAGCGCCACCTATGAGTGATTAGCCAAAACCTAACACAGATGTCTGTAACCGACACAATCGATTTTTTCCCAGTTGCACCACCCCAAACCCAATCAGGGGTGCCACATTAAAACCAGTTACAATTTTTCAACAATTTTATTAAATCCCCCACATCTTTGGCACCAAATAGTCCTCTCTAATGGCAACACAATCACTCTGACTTGGTCGTACTTTCACTTTCCGTTGTAACTTGTTTTTCTTTATGCAATTCCAGTAATTTCAAAGTGGCATCATCGGGGATTACCGACTTGGCGTCGATTTCCCCGACTGCAATTCCGGGCTTGGCCCCCGGGGGCACCTCCTGAGCCTCGGCTTCGGCCGGTTTTTCGCGCACACTTTTACTCCAAGTCTCCAACCATTTGCCACCTTCTGAAATTTCTTTCTCTTTTTCTTGTTTTTCCTGTTTTTGTTGCTTGTCTCTCTGTCTCTGGGCATACAAAGTGTCCGAAAGTGTGTTCAAAGTGTTTCGTTTGTTGCTACTATCGCCCTGATTGGCCAACGGCTGGGTGTACGTCTGGGGCCCCAACTCGACGAGGATTTGAAAGTCGGCCCTGTCACCCAGACGGAAGCCCCATCCTAGTCTAGAGTCCGTCCCTGGAATTTTTTTTTAATCTCAATTGAACACAACCCGAAATTACCTTTTTTCAAAACGGGAATATTTGAGTAAATCACTGATAAAATAGTCGGGATTTCGTCAGGCACAATCAACAGGTGGGCACCTAAAACGGATAATTAAATAAATACCCTAAAAAAACATAAAACTCACCAAAAATATGCAAGATGAAAGTGAAAACAACCAAACACAACTTCATATTAGAAACACTTTCATTTATTCAAACTTAAATTTTTTTCACTTGTCTCCTTTCTCACATGCTGGTTGTTCGTGGAATGAGAAGTCTATTATTTGGGTCACATTATATTTAAACTTTCACTTATATTTAAGAAAGTTTTGATACTACCACTTGGCTAAGTGCAAGGAAATGCCACTTGGAGTATCAAAATTAATTTCTTTCAATTGTTGATAGGAAAATTATTAAAGGTGGGTAGTTTCTTCATTTGATAGAAGAGAAGGGTAACAGAAATATTTCAAGGTCTAGCATTTTTTGCAATGCATTATGCAAACTGATAATTACTTGTTTATTACCAAGAAATAAGAATATATTAAGTGTGGATTATCTAAAAAAAAATATATTGAAAAATAATTAAGTAAAAAAATACATAATTGTTAAATTGTTCCCGTATAAAAGTAATGATGTAATACGCAATTGAGTTACGTAGATAAACATAAGTAACATACTTAGCTATAATAATAGCGTTAATAACGTATAATTTATTAAAAAAACAATAAATACAGTATGTATCGGCAACCAGTTATACACATAAAATCTTTTTTATAAAATTAGTTTATTTATTTTAATTAATGCAAATAAAACATCTGTTTGTGTAATTTAGACTTTACATGTAAGCTAATAAATGTTAAATTAGTTAATTTTTATGCAACTTAAAAAAATTAAAAGATGTGGCTATGTAACCAACAATACGCAACATTTCTGTTTAATTTAAAAAAATCATGAAACAATACAAATTGGAGCAATTAGCCACCTAATCTGAGGATAAACTTGCAAAAATAAAACTATTTATCATTTTTGATTTGTTCTGGTAAAATTAAATCAATTTGGTGATTACAGTTACAAATATTCTGTATCCTTGTTTGATGCACGCTTTGTTGTGTTTACTGTTCCACTCGTGTGAGATTCTCACCTCATTCCATATCTCTTGATAAGTTGATAACATTCCATTTTTACGATTTATTTATTTCTAGTACTGTTATCAATTGTTATCAGTCATGATAAGCGAGCGATACAATGTTCGAAATGATAACAATGACGTCGCAGCCAATAAAACGATTAAAATTCAAACAATCACTTGTGTATATTTCGTAGCAAGTAACGTGTCATGAATTATAACACAGTTCCCAATATGGCGTCGTCTCTAATATTAAGTGAAAAGTGTTTCTAATTTTAAAGTGTTTAATTCAAATTGAAATTGGTAAGTGTGTAAATAAATTAAAAATAGAATTAAAACACAATGAAAATACCACACTTATCAAATCATGTCATGATTATTCAATTCGTTACTGTTGTTTTGTTTTTGCTAGGTTAGTTTTTTTTGACATTTTAATTGGGCTTTTTCTTGCCCTCTGCCCTTTGGAGACGATTATCGTCTTTTTTGGTGTAAAGCCCACCTTTGAAATTTCAACTCCTTAAAGCTTGTTTTGTGTTTTTACCCCATTAGGCCCTACCTTGGTTTTGCATGTTTGCACCCCTTGAGGGTGTGTTGGGGTGTTTGGCCGTAAATAAACACAAAACCGTTCGGTGAGCGTTTTTTGGTCTTGTCTTCCGGCATTCAGAGTGCTCGGTCAAGCTAGACATTTCTCATAGATGAATCTTGATGGTGGAATGGTCCGTTACGAAACGGGTTGACCGGTTTTTACCCAGAAATGTCGTATTTTGTGTAATTATGTAATAATAACACTTAATAGGATTGTTTGTAGTTTTTTTTAGATCAAAGTCAAGATTGTTAGATTATCTTTGATAAAATTGTCGAGTTTTACCACAAGTGACACAGCAAATATTTTGACTTTCTCTCTTTTAAAATTAATTTGAGACGAGCAAAATAAGGAGTGTCGGAATAGTCTTGTTTGCGAAGTAATAAAATTGTTGCTAAGTAGGAAAATGTGCCAAATCTGGCACAACAAGTGGCTTTTTTGTTTTAATTATCTATGGAAAATTTTATTGGAGCAATATTCTTTATTCTTATAAAATATAAAATCAAAGAATTTCTCAGCATTGTCTGAATAAAGGTTATCGAGGAACTTGAACTAGAATAGATTTTATAATTACTTTTGATCTTGATTAAAATTAAAACAACTTTCGGTTCAAGTATATTTTTGTTAGCAGTTTAACGAACTGTTTGTTTAAGTAATACGGAAGTGTATGTGGTTACCTTCAGTTTAAACAAAGAAAAAATTAAGGTTGGTGGAAAAATGCCATCGATAAGATAATGTTACAATGTTACAATTTACTGTGTTTTTGTATGATTCAATATTTTCTTGTACTATTAGCAAACCGTAAACAAATAAAGTCTCAGATACGAAAGAATGTGTTTTAGGAACAAAAACTTATTAAATTTTTTCATAGCTTTATCTTGAATCGATTTATAAAACTGCTTACGAGACAATCTTTTCCTATCTCGAAGAACAATGGAAAAGGAAACGAGAGAATTAATTTTTTCTTATCAAAATTCTACAAAAACTGGCTATAAATTTTAAAAATATCAACTTTTGGGCTRTTTGTTAGTCATTCTGTAAATTTAATAAATATACAGGGTGCGCCAGAACTCGCCCTCCAGGGAAAAAATGCCATATAAGGTAAGATACCAGGAACATGGAAAAAATGTTAAAAAAATTTTATCTATAAAAATTTCGAAGTTATGAGGGTTTAAAGTTTGTACTTTGACTCTATTTATTTCTATTGAAAAAATAATTTTCAAAGTTTTTTTGCTATAGGCTATTAAAAGAGGAAACAAGGAAACAGTATCCTAAATTGTAACTCTGTTCAATGTTATTTGTGGCTTTTATTGGCAAAATTTTTGTCCTTTTACTAAATAATTGTAAAAAAAACATAAACAAGATCATCAGTATCATTAAATAGATATAAAAAAATGTCAAATGTCAAAATTTTTTGACAGATAGAATTTTTTAAACATTTTTTTTATGTTCCTGGTATCTTACCTTACTTGAAAATTTTCTCTGGGGCGCTAGTTCTGGCGCACCCTGTATAGAGTGAAAACCACTAAAAATAACATGTGGTATGGAGGAAAACACCCTGTATGGCTTAAAACGATTCGCGGGGACTTTATTTTTTTCACTTTTTAAACAAAATCGTAATAAAATAATTATTTACATACGCGTGTGGTAACTGACATTTGACAGGACGAAATTAATTTGACACACAACGTGTAACCGAGTGTGTTAATAATTGAACCCTGTAAAAGATTAACACAAGATTTGTATTAATTTTTTTGACCGAAGACTTATTAAAAAATTAGAAATAAATGTTTTATTAGACGTCAATGACAAGGAAAAAAAAGATCTCGGAAGAACAATGGAAAAGGAAACGTGAGAATTATTTTTTCTAATCAACATTTTACAAAAACTGGCAATAAATTTTTAAAATATCAACTTTTGGGCTGTTTGTTAGTCATTCTGTAAATTTAAATAAATATATAGGGTGGTGGCACTAAAAATAAGACGTGGTATGGAGTAAAACACCCTGTATGGCTTAAAACGATTCGCGGGGACTTTATTTTTTTCACTTTTTAAACAAAATCGTAATAAAATAATTATTTACATACGCGTGTGGTAACTGACATTTGACAGGACGAAATTAATTTGACACACAACGTGTAACCGAGTGTGTTAATAATTGAACCCTGTAAAAGATTAACACAAGATTTGTATTATTTTTTTTGGCCGAATACTTATTAAAAATTAGAAATAAATGTTTTATTAGACGTCAATGACAAGGAAAAAAAAGAATCGTGATGGCTATGACCCACCACTGGATGGTGCTATTCCAATTAGAATAAATTGGTCAAAAAAATGTTTTAGTCATTCAGTAATTAAAAAGTTCAACAAATAAGTTTTCGATTAACAAAAGGATAGACAGGGTGTGAAAATTTCTAGAATTATTACTAGAAGCTTATCTTTTTTGTTTGAACAGATTGCAAATAAATGTTTCAAAAAACGCATAATTTTCTATATCTGCGAAACCATTACTTTGCGGACCCATGTTTATTAAAACTTTTTTGTTTGTTTTGGTCCATACTATTACCTCCTGAAATAATTTACAATCTTTTTTTAACACCCTGTATTTTATAAATGTATTTGAAGGGAGGTGTTTTTGAGATTTTTTACATTTTTTCAATTGCCTATATTTTCCGATTCATCAAGTATTTTTTTAGACCAAAAATCAAACGCGTTTTATTTATAAAAACTCTGATTTTGTGTAATTATTGACAAAAATCGACCTTAATTAATCAAGTCGGGCAAACATTTGTTTTTCTGCCACAAAAGCGCGCCAAAAAAAAAACAGTCTTTGACCTCAATCCGCACAATAAAATTGCATTTCCGCTTCCGTTTATTACCAACTTTGGTTATTTCTCAAGTAATCAGCCTTGATGACGTCACGAAATTGATAATTGTTTTTTGTATGTTGCCAGAGTCCAAGTGAATATGTGAAAAAAAGTGTGTATGTGTTTCGTGTAAGTAAAACCAATGGAAGATTACGGAGTCAAGGGTACAGGAAAAGTGATAAGGGCACCATCGCTCAAAAGGGGGAAAACGGAAGAGAGGATAACCGATAGGGTGAGTTTAGTGTATTAATGGTTGCCTAGTATTTATTTTGTTTAGGTTAAAAGTCAATACACTACATACATGATAAAGGTTTTATCGGTTTAACGGTAATTAACGTGGTTGTTATCGCGTGAAATGCTCTAATTGTGTAGAGTATACAGTGTGGATCACCCGAGTTGCATACTTTTTTTTTCTATTAAAAGCCCAATTACGTAAATGCTAATTATGTGAATACACAGTAACAAAAAAATTGCTTGTCGTTTCATTTAAAAGTTTATAATTGTATGATAATGAGAAAAAGTCTAGCAGAAAAAATGATCATTAAAAGCGTTGTCATTTTATACTACTTGTTACAAGTCGAATTATAAAATGCAACTGGTATTTATAATCATTGAGATTTATAACATCGCGTGTGCGTAGAAAATGCGAGAGGCGAGGTCGTAAATCATAATAATTAATAATAATAACGAAAATTTTTCTTATTTCTATCTCGAGACAACGCATTTTTTACGTTTCCACGAACCAATCATTTCATATTAATATTCCACCGGTCGTAAATGTATCATTGTCTCGAGTTCCGCCCATTCAATTGCACAAAAACGTCGCCAACAATTGTTTTTTTTTTGGTCACAGGGTATATCGGATTTTTTACATTCGCACAAAAAATCGGGTTAAACGTTTTTGGTACATCCTGTATATTTTGAGCCGGAGAAAAGGAAAAAATAAATATAAGGAAATAAAAGAAATCTTTTCTGAAAACTGCTGATTATTTTTTTCTTCGGTTATTAATTTTGTAAACTGCGCTTCCCAAAAATTGTCAAAATTTAAATGAAATAAATTATGTTTTTTTTTTATAAAATCAGATTTGCCAAGTAAAGTATAAAAATTGGAAACAAAAATTAATTCAACAAAACGAATCGAGTAGTAAAAAAATTTTTTTTTTAAATTTAAAGTCGGGCACCTCCTTGAAAGGGAATAATTGGGTAGTCGCCTAGAGTACTGAAAAAATGTTTAAAAAATCCTATCTGTCAAAAAATTTAGACATTTGTTTTTTGACATTTGACATTTTTTTATGTATACAGGGTGCAACAGAATTCGCGCCCTAGAGGAAAATTTGCAGTAAGATAAGATACCAGGAACATGGAAAAAATGTTTAAAAAATTCTATCTATGTCTATTTAATGATACTGATGATCTTGTATTTGGTTTAAAAACTTGGAAAATTATTTTTTCAACAGAAATAAATAGAGTCAAAGTGGAAATTATAAACTCTCATATCTTCGAAATTTTTTTTTTAACATTTTTTCCATGTTTTTGGTATCTTACCTTATATGGCATTTTTCTCTGGGGCGCGAGTTCTGGCGCACCCTGTATTTAATGATACTGATGATCTTGTATTTGTTTTTTTTTAATTATTAAAAGTAGTAATAAAAGTACAAAAAATTTGTTAATAATTTTCCTAATTTCATAATTACAAAATTTTTATAGATAGATTTTTTTTGACGGACACCTTATATAAGCCGAGTCGCGTAATAAAAAAATCCCACAACTTAAAAAAAAAAAAATTTTTTTTGAAAGTAGAATTTTTAAGCTAAACGAAGCCCATGCTGAGGCGAATAATTAAGTGAAAAAAAAAATACTTAAATTGAGCTAAATTTGTCGTAAAATATTATTGTAAAGAATGTAGGATTGATAAATAGCAAGACGAGGCGTAAGCCGAGTTGAACAATCAACAAGTTTTATTTCTGTTCAATAATAAATTGCTTATTTTTGTTAAATCTTTCATAGAATATTAAGAATGTAGGTCCGAAAAATAGTGAAGGGAGGCGTAAGTCGAGTCGAGTGATTGACAATTTCAATTTTTTTTTATATAAAAACGGTATATTTTGATATCAAATTTGAGAATAATTAAATTTACAATTAGTATCTAATTTTTTCTTGAGGGTTTACAATTTTTGCTACATCTAGTATACATTCTTAGGAAGATGTGGTGCAACTTCGAAAACGATACACTTATTTATGGTACACACTGTATACTCTTATACAGGATGTTTTTTTAAAATGTGAAAAATCACAATCACATATTCTACCTTGAAAAATAACACTAAATTGTCAAATAAATGATAGTCTTATAAAGTTTTGTTATGCATATACAGGATGATGAAGTTTCATGATAAAAATGAAAATCTACATTTTCTCCGAAACCACTTGGGGTTTTTTACAGGCTTTGTAAATCATTGTAAGTCATTTTCCTACACTTACTTTATTTTTATCCTCACCATTGGCGTGCGTATGGGCACATCACTGTGTCGATGTAGAATATATTTTTTTTGCAATATTTAGAAAACACTCTGTATAAGTTGAGTTCAATTCTTGCCACACCCTGTATGCGTGCTAATCGCATTAAAGCCCCTCATCGGAATCTCGTTAAGCTTTTGGATCGATCGTTTCCATCTTGAAAATTACGTATGCGTCGACGAAGACGTCCATCGATGACCATTTTGGTGTTTCGCGACCGTCACAGGATGTACCTAACATTGAATAGGAAAAACCTCTCTCATAGAGTGACCGTATATATGAAAGAGTGAGAGAGTATAGAGAGAGGGGTCCGCACTTGCACCTAGTGCTACACTCTTCAGTCTGCACCACAACACCCGAAGAGACGTATCTGTCATACGTAGATGACGTCGGTTTCGCGTGTGTGTGTGTCAATGTGACCCAGAGATGAATCTGCAACAGGTATGGTGATGATGGCCTTGCCTCAGGTGTCTTAAATTCGAACAAAAAAATAAAGCGTTATATAATAGAGAGGGGTACCGCAAGGGTCTGTTAAGGGACCAATGTTATGTTTTCAGGTCGGTTTGTAAAAAAAAATCGTTTCGAAATGATGCCCAGGAATTCATCGCCGATTATAGAAAAGGAAATTATCTGTACTTATAAGGTAAAAAGAAAAATGGCCGCCGCTAATAATAACAAAATTAATGATTTAACAAAAATCGACCAACTGTAGGTGTTTTAATAATTTTAAAGTGTTTAATTAATTTTTTTCCCTTCTTCAAAGATCAATATCTTGGGAATTAACCTTCACTAATTTGATTTTTTGGTGGGTTATAACCGCGCCCATTAATGATAATTTTAGCTTTTTGCAATTGAAATTTTGCTCGGGTGATACTAAATCACCCCGATTTGGGTCCCATTGAAATGTTTTAGAATTTCATATGTAAATGAATGCGAGACGTTATTATTATGCAGGAATGAAGTACGTATCTAAGAATTGCACAATTATTTACTAAAAAAAGTGAAACAAGTCGAAAAAGAGAATTCAACGGTGTTACCTTGTACTTAACATTGATTACTTTTACTTGTTCTTATCTGTAGTTTCACTTTTGAGACAATGAGACGTCTATTTTTAATAGAGATATGTTATCAGGAATTCCTCTATAGTTGAAGAGTGTACAATTTTTTTTGTTCACTCTGTATAATTAATTTAAATTTTTGCACCTCCCAATATTAGGTACGCTAGTTTATCCGTTATTAATAACGTCGATACTGATTTAATTTTGATTATGATTGATGAAAAATTGATTATTATACAGGGTGGTGCATGGTTTGACCTCTCCTAAATCTATATTATGTAATGATATTGATTAAATCATTTTTTGCGTAGTTGTAGGTCATTTTCGGCCCACAAAAAATGCAAATCTGTGACTACTATTATTAACACACACACGTCGTTCGATACTTTTCCCGAAAATTTCAATTAATTTTCGTCAATTAGAAAATTACTATCAATTTATTTGAGTGTGGGTTTTTAATAATATCGTTCTATGGTCACTTCGATCCACCCACATATTGCATTTCGGTGAGCGATAAATAGCAATGGCGTCATAAATGCAGGTGTTTATGTAAATATATGAGCCAGGTGGTATTATAAACACACTGTATATTAATATTTTTAGTGTTATAATTATTTAAATTATCAGTCCGTTGCATATTAGATTTTCTTTGGTGCAGAAACGGTGTTTGTTACATACAATTTGCATTAATTGATCGTGTTTTTTTAAGAAAAATAGAGTGAAATGAGTGTTTAAATGGCCCATTAATGGTCACACCTTTCACTCTAGAAATTCAAAATTTCGATAATCGAATTCAAGATCGAAATCTTATCGTTAATTGATGGATCGTTGCGGCAAAAGCTATTTACATGCATTTTATTAGTGCGTAACGGCATTTATATTATATTTAATGACGTTGAAAGACTTTAAAACGTTATAAAAGTATAACAATACGATAAAAACGAAGAAAAAACAAGCACGTGTGATTCTTTTCACCGATTGTTTCGTAAAGTTTTCACCTAAACGCGAAATATTCGTCGCCTTAAATTGCGTCAGATTATTTGTTTAGCCTTTATCCATATTTTTGTGACAGATTTGAGTTCGATATCAGTTTCGAAAAAATTCAAAAGTAAACAAACGTGGGCGCTATAATACTCTTGTGGTGTAATTTACATTATCTGTGACCTTGACACGTCGTACAAGGTTTCACCGAGATGTACCTACCTTTACATACCGGTTATAAATAAATTAGACTTTCAAAATTATTATTATTTAATTTTACCAAATTCCGGTAAAATAACAACATATGTTGTTATACAATTCCAATTTTAAATTCAAATTCTCATCGTCTCTCTAAATAAGAGCAATTGCGAAACCGATTATTTTCACGTGTGCTCCTTTCGTTTTGTTTTTATGTCGACTTGCGTTTTTAAATTTCCATGTTTTTAGGTGTTTGTTCCCAATTTGGTAGGAAAAAAAGACAAAATTGGGAAAATATTTTCGATTCATGTTTACAGACTCGGCTTCGCCTTGTCCGGAATGAAATAATACTTTACATACGCAAGGCTGTTATTAAATCTGGTAGAAAAATATTATTGCAAGTTTGAAAAACAGGCGAGGCGTAATGCGAGTGTATAATAAAAAGTAATAAAATGATTTATTTTTTGTTAAACTTTGTATATAAAAATGTTATTGTAAAGAAATTATACTGAAAAACATTGTTCGGCAAGGCGTAAGCCGAGTTTAGTGGTTAAAAAAAATCTCTCGAGTATAAAAAGTACATTTAAAAAAAATCAAAACGAGGCGCATGCCGAGTCGAATAGTAAAATAACTATTATTTTTTTGGCGAGGGGCCGTTAACTTGAAAGAAATGTGTACAACTAATTCCAATTCCAAAAAAAATTCATCTAAATTTCAATAATCCATCGAAATTCTATTTAATTTTCATAATTCCTAAATAATATAATTCTTGTAATTCCAAATTAATTCTTATAGCATAAAAAATTGAACGTAGTTTACTAAAAAACGCCGATAATTCTAAAAAGAATTTCAGTAATCAGATAATTTCAGTAATTTCAATAATTCATCGGTATTTTCATTGTTTTTAGATTAATTCCTATAATTACAAATTAATTCTTGTAATTCCAAAATATTTTCTCTAATTCTAAATTAGATTTTTCTACGTCTTTAGGTTTATAATCCCAAATTCATATTGAAAATATTGAATCCGGTTCTGGAATAATAGAACTTGTCACATATTTCACAATGATTTTAGTCAAAGGAAAATTTCAGAACTTGTGTGATAAAATAAAAAGATACATTATTATTCTAATATTATTTACAAAAATATAGTTTATACAACGAGCAGAGCGCGAGTTTTATAATCATTTGGGTATATAATGGCCACTATATACGAGATAAAAATTATATTTTGTTTCCTTTGATACTGTTACGTAATTACGCTCTTATGTTTCTTATTTTTTATATGCTTACGCTTCGTTTTTTTTTCATTTTTTTTACGTGTTTTTACTTATGAGTTAATTTTGATTAAAAATTTGTATCTCATGATTACATACTACCTAGACATTATTTGAGGGACCGTTAACTTAAAAAAAAATGTGTAAAATACTTACACTAATTCAAAATTTTCAAAAGAAATTATCTCCGAAAATTCCAAAAAGAATTCTATCAGTAGTTTTTTTAAAAATCCATCAGCAATTCAAGAAGAATTTCAATAGTTTACAAATAATTCTAGTACGTAATTCCATACAATTATTCCAACATATTTTTTATAATTCCAAATACTTCTAAATAATTTTCGATTAAATTTCTAAAAATTGTACAATTCCAGAGTCAACGGCTCCTCGTTTTTGGCATAATTATGAGTAATCATAAGTAATAAAATGACCTATTTTTAATTTTTTGCTAAAGCTTGTATAAAAATATTATTGCAAATAGAAATCGCAAGAAACAGCATTTGAGGGCAATTGCGAAGCCCAATATTATTTTCACGTGTTTAAAAATGAGGAATTTGGAAAATGTGGTGTTTTTTAGACTCGCCTCCGTCTCGCACAGTAACAATAAATCATTTGTTTGCAGCGTTGGCGATTATTTTTTGCGAATTTTTATCGAAAAAATCATAAACAAATCATTTGAAAAATAAACAAGGTCATAGAAATAAAATACTTTGAGATACGCAAGGCTGCCTTGTAAACCATACTTGTAGTCGATATACTTATATAGCAGAGCCGGAAATAGTTTGCAAAAATGTGTTTATTTTTATTATTTTTTTTTGAATAAGATTTTTCGGGATTAAAATAGGGAAATAGGTCCGTGACCGTACAGTGAGAGTCCGAGTCGTGCAAAAAATCTCGAATGCATCTCTTCTTTCACTAGAAAGTCAATTTTCGTACATTATCAACGATTTCCGCTTTGTTTTCGTTCACCTGTAATCAATTATCATCTCGTTTTGGAGTGTTTAAACCTGTTTCGTCCTTGCAAAGTCGATTTAACACAATCATAATAATTTCTGATTAATTAAAACGCTTTCTATTGATATTAATCTCTGAGCGACTTGGTCACGGCCAATCTAACGCTTCGTGGGTGATATTTTACGTTGAAAATGGGGGCAATTCGGGATATAAATTATTGAGGTGTGTTATGGAATTCTGCTATTTATTATTTCGTTGCAGATTAAATTGGAGAAGGTGTTAGGAGTGACCGTTTCGAGTAATGCAGCTTTGGCCTCGGACAACGACGGAACTATCGCATATCCTGCAGGGTAAGTGGGCTTTTTTCCTATAGGGCGAAAAAGTCGCTTTCCGACTTAACAAGAAACTAATTTTATACAGGGTGGGTCAGAACCCGCGCCTCAGAGGAAAATTTCCAGTAAGATCTGTCAAAAAATTTTGATTAAAAAAATTATACTGATGACCTTGTATATGTTTTTTTATAATTATTTAGTAAAGGTACAAAAATTTTGCTAATAAAATCCACAAATAACATTAAACAAAAATAAAATTTAAGGTACAGCTTTCTTTTTTCCTCTTCTAATAGCCTGTAGCAAAAAAAAAACTTGGAAAATTATTTCTCCAACAGAAATAAATAGAGTCAAAGTGCAAAATTTAAACTCTCATAACTTCCAAATTTTTATAGATAAAATGTTTTTAACATTTTTTCCATGTTCCTGATACCTTACTTGAAAATTTTCCCTGGGGCGCGAGTTCTGGTGCACCCTGTATACGAGATAAAAATTAATTATATATTAATTAATATTTTGTCTACTTTGATACTGTTACGTAATTACGCTCTTACGTTTCTTATTTTTTATATGCTTACGCTTACGTTTTTTTTTTCTTATTTTTTTACGTGTTTTTACTTACTTTAATTCAAAATTTTCCAAAGAAATTATCTCCGAAAATTCCAAAAAGTATTCTATCAGTAGTTTAAAAAAAATCCCTCAGCAATTCAAGAAAAATTTCAGTATTTTACAAATAATTCTAGTAAGTAATTCCATATACAATCCCAACATAATTTTTATAATTCCAAATACTTCCAAAATAACTTTCGAAACAGCATTTGAGAGCAATTGCGAAACCCAGTATTATTTTCACGTGTTAAAAAATGAGGAATTTGGAAAATGTGGTGTTTTTTAGACTCGCCTCCGCCTCGCACAGTAACAATAAATCATTTGTTTGCAGCGTTGGCGATTATTTTTTGCGAATTTTTATCGAAAAAATCATAAACAAATCAATTGAAAAATAAACAAGGTATATAGATAGAAAACATTTTTCCATGTTCTTGGAATCTCACTTTACATGACATTTTTCTCCGGGGCGCGAGTTCTGGAGCACCTGTATTTTTTCGAAACCTAAAATAGTCCAGGGTAAAAATTGAGAAAGAGAAACGAGTAAATATTTTTCGATATTATCTCACTATTTGTCAATATTTTCATTGCATATTTGACTAAATTTAGTAAGCGTATTGTCAATATTTGAATTGTGATAGATTTTTGTGTATTTGTGCTTGAAAAACGTTTTTTTTTCAATCAAAAATTGTCAATTAACTTGCAAAACAAACAACAAATCATAAACACCTATAAATAATCGTTATGTAAGTAATTGTTTGCGAATAAAAGTCGAAAAATTCTTCATCCTTGAAGGATTAAGAGGAGTTGTTGTAAATGCTTTCGATTTTCACCGCAATTAAAAAGAAGGTCCATCCGTGGTAATTATGAGAATAATAAATCGTATTAACGAAGTGAAATTAGATAAGGTCGCATCATCACTCTAGGCAACCAGTAATTTTTTTCTAAATACCTGCTGGGAGTTTAACGAAGGCTTATTAAAGTCGGAAAGGTTTTCTGTGTCAATTATCAAGGGAATGAGACGAGTTTCCTTGTTAGGAAATGGAAGGTTCTATCAATTTTGAATGAGTGAAACGTCATGCTTCGAGATGAGAAAAATTTCTACCAAGCTAGCGGAACGTTTAGAAGCGTTTTCATAGTTTTTAAGTGAATTATTGAGACGAGTGGCTTTATCAGGGGAAAAACTGACTTTTACATTTGAAAAAATAGTTGAAGTTGGCAATGCTTGAAATAATAAAACTACAGGAAACTGTTAAATTTTCTCGTTATGTCAAGATATTCAAATATTCAAATAGTGACTCGTTACTCTAACATTTAAAATATTTAGTGAAAGTTGGAGTCAACAATTTACAAACCAACAATTTACAAAATTGCACAAAACACTCACTTTTCGTTCAATTTAAACAGAATTGCATTTACAAATAAGATTATTTTCACATCAATTTTTGTGTCAAGTACGGGAAACTTTCTTAAATTAAAGAAAAACAAAGAAAACTTGTGATTAACAGCCACTTCAATCTTTACGACATAATAAAATAACGAGTTTTCTCGTTATTTGTTACAATATCTCTGATTTTCTCTCAGAGACAACAAAATTCAAGTCAAATATTGATTTTCCATTTGAAATATTACAGTTTCAGTCGCTATTCAATGCTAAATAAAAAAAAATGGAGCAAACAATGAGATAAAATGCTGAAAATTGCAACAAAAGTATTAAAAAATTGTGGTTTATCGTTCGAACGTGATTCAAGTCTTTTCAAACGATTTAACAAATTAAAGGCGGCCCTGACATTGTTATAATCTAGGAGACTGTTTTGTATACAGGGTGACTCTATCGTATTTATTTGTTATACAGGGTGTCAACTAGAAGTGATCAAAATCTGCAATTAACTAAAGCTAAAACATTTCGAAACTCATTTTGTAGTTTTTTAAATACAGGATCTTGAAAGGGAGTAATTGTGGAGTCCCCCAGAGTAACGAAAAAATGTTAAAAAAATTCTAATTGTCAAAAAATTTTGACATTTGAAATTTTTTTATGTCTATTTAATGATACTGATGATCTTGTAAATGTTTTTTTTTAATCATTTATTAAAAGTACAAACATTTTGCCAATAGAAGCCACAAATAACACTAAACAGAGTTACAAAAACTTGGAAAATTATTTTTCCAATAGAAATAAAAGGAGTCAAAGTGCAAAATTTAAACTCTCATAACTTCAAAATTTTTATAGATAGATTTTTTTGACATTTTTTTTTGTCTAGGGCATCGCCCGATGATACAGTGTCATGGAGGTGCGCAACTTTCCAGACTCCCTGTATTTAATGTTTTAAATATATTCTCACCCTGTATACACTGTTTCGAAGCTCTGAAATCTATATACATAATAAAATGCATTAGAGAAAATTGCCTTCTCAAATATACAATGTGTCTCAAAATGTAGATGTACCGTCGTCCTCTTCAACACCAAAACCGAGGAGCAGCACCACATCATCAACTCCAGTCGCAAAACCATAACATGTCTGGCCTTTTCGTCATGCGGCCGTTACATTGTGACAGGTGGACCAATTTCAATTTTTTTTTATGTCACGTGACGTATGGAATTTTAGGCGAATGTGGTCACCAACCGGCCGTCCGTGTCTGGGATCTTTATTCCGATCCAATTCCCAGTCATCCAGGTCTTTCACCACAACCTCAACAAGTGGCAGAATTTATTGGTCACAAATTTGGCGTTAATTGTGTTGCTTTTTCACCATCGGGAAAATACGTAGTCAGTATTGGGACACAACATGATATGATTGTCAACGTATGGGATTGGAAAAATAACATTAAAGTAGCCAGTAATAAAGTGAGCACGAAAGTAAAAGCGGTGGCGTTTGCCGAAAATGGCAGCTATTTCGTTACAGTGGGGAATAGACATGTTAAATTTTGGTTTTTGGAATACGGGAAGTCAAAGGTGGGTGCGAAGTGATGGATTTTATAATTTTTTGTCGACTTTTATGAAAGCGACAATCTTTTTGATTCACCTTGTATAATTTTGATTATTGAAGAGCGACCGATTTTGTCAAATGGTACTTCCGGAATCATCGAAATGTTCTCAAAAAAATTTTATTTGACCATTTATATCGTATATATATCGTATACAGGGTGAATCAAATTTTTTCTACGAAATGCTTATTTTTTTTTGGAAAAACGGTTCTTTTGAGTCAGGAGACGACGTTCTTGACTTTTTTTGTGGTTTTTAGTACAAGGAGGCGGTGCCTCTGATGGGTCGTTCGGCCATTTTGGGCGAACAACGAAACAATTATTTCTGTGATGTCGCTTGCGGCAAGGCTCAATCCGGTGATAGTACTTATGCTATCACTAGATCGGGTCTTTTGTGTGAATTCAACAATCGAAGACTTTTAGATAAATGGGTAGAATTAAGGGTAGGTTCACAATCTCAAATTTAACTTTTTTTTTCAAGTGTAAATTTTAGACAACACGTGCCAATTGTATAACTGTAGGTGAAAATTACATATTTGTCGGCTGTGCCGAAGGTATAATAAGATGTTTCGACCCTGCCACCCTCAGGTTTATTACGACGCTCCCACGGACGCATTATTTGGGCGTCGATGTTAGTCAGGGTACGAGTATAAGGTGAGTTTGAAATCCTTAAAGATGATTGGTTGATTATGTTTTGTAGTCACATGGCATCGCCGCCCCCCGACGCCAAATACCCCGATGCCGTAGCATTAACCTACAACGAAACTAATCACAAACTAACCAGTATTTATAACGATCACTCTATATACGTATGGGATGTGTTTAATATAAAAAGGGTGGGGAAATCGTATTCGTTTCTCTACCATTCGGCTTGTATCTGGGGCGTGGAGATGGCCCCGCCCAATAGTCCCCTCCCACCTGGCTCTTTTCTTACGTGCAGCTCCGACGATACAATCCGCGTATGGTCATTGGATAAACTCACCGAACGTAACGCCAATGGGATGTACCGACCTAATGTCTATAGTAACGAACTCTTGAAAGTTGTCTATGTCGATAAAGATTTATCATATATCAAAGATTTAGATTTATCAACTGGTAACAGTGATAAACAACAAGAGACGAGTTATGATGGCCGTAATGGCGTCCGATGTATTCGGGTAAGTCCCGACGGTAAACATCTAGCTTCGGGTGACCGTTCGGGTAATATTCGTATCCACGAAACGACGAAAATGCGCGAAATGTACAAAATTGAAGCACACGATGCCGAAGTACTGTGTTTGGAGTATTGTGGTGTTGAATCGGATTTGAATTTGATGTCGAGTGCAAGTCGTGATCGACTTTTGCACGTTTTTGATGTCCGACACGGTTACGAATTTTTACAAACTCTCGATGATCATTCGTCGTCTATCACAGCTGTGCGATTTTTAACCAATCAGAGAAACATTCAAATGGTGTCTTGTGGGGCTGATAAGTCGCTCATTTTTCGGTCTTTGAGCGAGTCGGGAGGCAAACCCCAATTCGCACGCGATCACCACGCCACTGGTAAAACCACACTCTATGATATGGAGGTGGATGCCGGTCAGAAACACGTCCTTACGGCTTGCCAGGACCGAAATGTACGCATCTATAGCGTAAATACGGGGAAACACACGAAAAGTTTCAAGGGAAGTACCGGAGACGATGGTACTTTGATTAAAGTGGTCTTGGATCGGTCTGGTATCTATTTGGCCACTTCGTGTACCGATAAGTCACTTTCAGTCTATGATTACTATTCGGGTGAGTGTATGGCAACAATGTGTGGGCATTCGGAACTTGCAACTGGTCTACGATTCACCAATGACTGTCGTCGACTCATTTCGGCGAGTGGTGATGGTTGTATTTTCGTATGGAAAGTCCCCCATGATATGGTCGTAACCATGCATGCACGTCTCAGTCAGCAGGCCATGAGACAAGGTAAAACACTCGATAGTGATATTTTGAACGAGAGTGGGGATTTGTACGACAACGAATCAGATGCCAGGTACCGGTAAGTGGGCGTGTTGTTATAGGTGGAGCCAAACTTTAATCAAGTGTCATAGGTTTAGTATCGGTCAATTGCCACAATGGGCAAAGAAACAATTGAATGAGGAAGCAAGTCACGCCCCAAGTGTACGTAACGTTGCCGTGCCGAAAGGAAGGTGGGCACAAAGGGCGGAGCATCCGCTCGAAGCGTCAAGTTTCTATTCGTTGGAGGAGAGTCGTATTACGAAAAAGGTGAACGCCCACCAAATGGAAAATATCACTTTGACTCGTGGAGATACCGATACTGGATTCGAATCAGCCGCTCATGATGGTGATATTGATTCAGATCACGAGTATCGACGACCTTTGTATTACCCAAATCAAGTCGATTCGGCGAGTGGAAGTGAATTTACCGTCACAAATATCGACGCAGATGAACTACGAAAATCACAACGTAAGAAAAAAGGACCGAATCCACAAATTGTCATTCAGGCAAGTTCGTCGACGTATGGAAGTCAAGATTCGGATGATGATGATGACGAAGCGTCAACACCAAGTGGTGAAAATACCGATCGAAATCCCATGTCGTTATTTTCGGTTAGTTCCGAATCATTAGATCAGTTAGGTACACGTGAAAAGTACCTTCAAAGTACGTTTGAAAGTATGTCAGGGGCTGAAACCGAACTCACACCTGGGAAAACTTCCATTTCGAGTAAGTTTCTTCGAAGTTCTGAAATCAATATGGCGGCGATAAATGCAGTTAAATTGACTAAAAGTGATCCAGAAACAGCCCTCAAACGTCAATTGCTTAACAAAAGAATTGCTGAGACGAAAAAGAAATTGGAAAGTGTGAGTCAGTTTGGTACTTTTGACATTTGTTATATTGTTTTTTTCAGGTTGGTCATACTACTCCATTGAAGTACAGCCAATCAATTCATGACTTGAGTCACATCCCTGAACGTGATAAAAGTGCAAAAAAACAAGGTAATGACGTTTGTACATGTCTAGAGCGCCATCTACTAACATCAGGCGATACTAACAACTTACAACTATGCGGTTGTTTTATGCAAGACGTGACCAAAAATACGTCACAGCTTTCACACATCTTCAACACTGCCACTTTACACGCTGCCAACTTAGAATTAGATAATGATAAATTAATAAGACCGAGAAAACTTCAATTAGATAAAACTCTAGTTAAGTACAAGTTGCATAAAAGTCTACCAGTGTCACCCGTGAGTGAAGAACGAAGTTTTTCCGATTTTGTCCAACAAAAAGACGATGGTGCAAATCGAAAATCTTTTAGTTATTTCGTTGATTTTGAGAAAATCGACACTCGGGAGGATTTTAAACAGATTTGTAGCGACATTGAGAAGTTTTCGCATGATTTTAACCGAAAATACGACCAAATCGAAAAGAGTTTCGACGAGGATGCGAATTTCAGTTCAGACTCGCTTGAAGAGTATAGTTTTCGGTCAGTTGGTCCGAAAAAAATTAGACCGGATGTTCCACCACGTCGTTGTGTCTCTTCGAATGAATTATCAAACTATGATGAAGTTCCGAAAATTGAAAGCTTTTATCTCAATCCTAACATTAAAACCAGTCAAGATAGTATACTGAGTGAGGATTTTTCGAGAAGCTACTGCAACAGCATGGAGAGTATACTAAGCAACGATTCGGATTGCAAATCGGCCCCACTTGAAGCCCTTTTCGCACCACAAAAAAAACACATGCAGACGTCACATTCAGTACCAAAAAATCTTGGTTCAGAACCACCGTCACCTCGAAAAATGCGAACATCTCAGACACAAACCGATTTTCCAACACCGCAGGAAATCGTCTCGAAAAAAACCAACGCCAGTGCTGAGTTTCAAGAGAAATTGTTACGATTTGAAAATATTGCGAAAAAACCAGTCGCATTTTTCGTCGAATCGGAACAAAAAGTGCGAAATACCAAAAATGAGATGTATATACCGAGTCTTGAAACGAAAAATCAACAATATAGAAGTAAATTTTGCAATGTATTAAATAACAAGCCCGATTTTAATGTGGAAATTTACGAGAGTGGAGGTAAGAATTTCGTAGGGGGGAGTTTAAAATTCGAGAAGAACACCAATCGGAATCAGGAGACGTCGAGTTTGGATCGTCATTTGTTTACGAAAAGTTTAATCACGGAGAAGATTTGTCATAAGCCACCAAAGGCGGTCCGAAGGCATAGTTCAAAAGTGCGAAAAACGAAAACGTACGAATATGTACGAAAAGAAGATTACTACAAGAGTAATAAGTTGAATAATCGTCACGTGACCGATGAGAATACCATCGAATTGAGTTATAAAGAGAAAAATTTGGAGAAAGATCTAGAAACAGGTCCGAATATTTTAACCGAATTGTATGACAGTTTGGATAAGTCGGCTAAAGTTTCGACCGAAGTTAATCTCAATGTTGAAGAATGTGAATCGAAATTGTACGATTCGGTTAATCTTTGTTCCGAAGATAAGTTCGATAAAACGAAAAGATACGAAACTATACAATTCGCTCTTGAAAATATTAAAATTCTCAATGAAATTCAGCGTAAAATTCACAAAATTAATAATTTGGTGGATATTTTCAAAAAAAATATGTGTTCGGGTAAAGTACGAGCCTTGTCGAGTATGTACGAATCGATGACGAATTACTACAATGACTTAACTAGACTACAAGCGACTCCGATTAAATTCCGACGTCGAAATTTAAGTCTTCCGAGTTTCGTCGAGAGACGTCTCAATGAAGGTGACTAAAACGGCATGTTGGATGTGGAAAGCTCGGTGGTTCCCCTGCATGATTTTCCCTCCCCCTTTCATTTTTTTTTTTCGTTTTGGGTGATTTTTTTTTTGCATGTTTGCAGTGTATGTACACGAGAGCAGCCCCGATAGCAGTTTGCGTAGATCATGCAGCTTGAGCGATTTAAGCATGCAAAAACCAGTGGTGAACAAAAATAAAATTGAAGGTAAGGCGGGTTGGTTGGTTTTGCATGCGCATGCGCTTATATCCCCCTCTCTTTCTCTTTTGTTCATCCCATCCAATAGTTTCAGGCAAGAAAGCTACAGCTCCGCCCTCGCGTTCCAATTCGCGCTATATGAAAAACAATACTCCGCCCATGACGCGAAGTCGTTCAAGTGGTGTTCTTAACCAATCCGATTCTGAGAATGAAGGTGAAAAAAAAATCTCGCGTTTAATGCGACCGACTATCAGTTCGCATAATAAAATTAATAATAAAACGTTACAAAGTCGGAAAAAACAATCGTATTCGACGAGTAATTTGAATACAGTGGGTGTGGATAATGTCTCGACTTCGGATGATGAGGAAGTGGTTCAAAAGCCGGCTGTACCGCCGAGGAATAGGATGAGTTATAATGGACCACCGGCGGTTACACCCCGAAGGCATTTGAATAATAAAGAGAAAAGTAAAGGTATAGAAAGGAAGTAGGAAAAATAATGTATGTATTGATTGTGTGATTGCAGGGGGACGGCATATCACACATTTTGAGAAGATTAATGTCGATTTGGACTCAACTCTTATCAACGACGATGATAATTCGGATCTTTCCGTTGATACAGTTGAAAGTAAGAAAGAAAAAATTAAGTCTAACAGGCCATGATTAATGGTCACATTTAATTCAGTTTCTGTCTTTCGTAAAATCTAGTAGACCTTGGTTTGACAAAAAAAGAGAAAATATTTTTCGAGCATTATTCAAAAAATAAGATCCTGAAAGCCGTGATTTAACAATGACGGTTTTTGTTTTACTCTTATCGTGACATTTTCTGTCCTTTTTTTCATGAGATTGACTCTAAGGAAATTTAAATTTTCTCTGTTTCTTGAAAGTGAACCACTCCTTTAAAATTTAGTAGGCCATGGTTAAACAAGAAAGATAGAAAATATTTTGGAACGTTAGACAAAGACAGATACATTGTCCAAAGTCTTGGTCTCTGTATTTTGTTTTTTTTTTTTACTACATATTCTGTTCTTTTTTATTAATTTCAGTAATTAATTGCAGACAGGGACAGATATTATTTTGTTAACTCAACTCAGTCTAACAGGCCATGGTTAATTCTTTCACTTTGTTACGTTTAATTCAGTTTCTGTCTTTTTTCAAATGTGAACTACTTGTTCAAAAATCTAGTAGACCTTGGTTTGCTAAAAAAAGAGAAAATATTTTTCGAGGATTATTCAAAAAGTAAGATCCTGAAAGCCGTGGTTTACTCTTATCATGACATTTTCTGTCCTTTTTTTTTCCGTGAGATTGACTCTAAGGAAATTTAAATTTTCTCTCTTTCTTGAACGTGAACCACTCCTTCAAAATTTAGTAGGCCATGGTTAAACAAGAAAGATAGAAAATATTTTGGAACGTTAAACAAAGACAGATACATTGTCCAAAATCTTAGTCTATGTATTTTGTTTTTTTCACTACATATTCTGTTCTTTTTTTATTAATTTCAGTAGTTAATTGTAGACAGAGACAGACAATATTTTGTTAACTCAACTCTTACCAACGACGATGATAATTCGGATCTTTCCGTTGATACAGTTGAAAGTAAGAGAGAAAAAATTAAGTCTAACAGGCCATGGTTAATTCTTTTACTTTGTTGCGTTTAATTCAGTTTCTGTCTTTGTTCGAATGTGAACTACTTGTTTAAAATCTAGTAAACCTTGGTTTGATAAAAAAAGAGAAAATATTTTTCGAGCATTATTCAAAAAATAAGATCCTGAAAGCCGTGGTTTACTTTTACCATCATGACATTTTCTGTCTTTTTTTTTCATCAGGTTGACTCTAAGGAAATTTAAATTTTCTCTATATCTTGAAATATCTTGAATGTGAAACACTCCTTAAAAATTTAGTAGGCCGTGGTTAAACAAGAAAGAGAGAAAATATTTTGGAATGTTAGACAAAGACAGATACATTGTCCAAAGTCTTGGTCTATGTGTATTTTGTTTTTTTTTTTAATACATATTCTGTTTTTTTTTACTAATTTCAGTAATTAATTGTAGACAAGGACAGATATTATTTTGTTAACTCTTACCAACGACGATGATAATTCGGATCTTTCCGTTGATACAATTGAAAGTAAGAGAAAAAAAATAAGTCTAACAGGCCATAGTTAATTCTTTCACTTTCTGTCTTTCTTCAAATGTGAACTACTTGTTTAAAATCTAGTAGACCTTGGTTTGACAAAAAAAAGAAATTATCCTGAAAGCCGTGGTTTAACAATGACGGTTTTTGTTTTACTCTTATCATGACATTTTCTGTCATTTTTTTTTTTGTTAAATTTGCTCTTTCTTGAATGTGAACCACTCCTTTAAAATTTAGTAGGCCATGGTTAAACAAGAAAGAGCGAAAATATTTTGATACGTGAGACGAAGCCTTGGTCTATGTATTTTGTTTTACTTTTTTCACTACGTATTCTGTTCTTTTTTTATTAATTTCAGTAATTGATTGTAGACAGGGACAGATAATATTCGTTGAAGGCCATGGTTTAGTAAATGTTTTATCACAGTTTCTGTCAAAATTTCAGTTTCGCATCAGTTGTGCAATGACGTCATCCAGCAGCTGACCAAGGCGGCCGATAACGTCGTCGGCCTGTATAACCGACTGAGCGACACCGAGCCGGCCAGCCAGAACTCTTCCGTCGCCAAAATGGACATGGTCAAAGACCTCGAAATGTCAATTTTGAACACACACAAAGTCCTCCATGAATGTATTTTTAAAAAATTGAAACAAAGTAATGGCAACGTTGATGTTAACCAAACCGATACGGTTAAAAAGTTGAACGATTTAGTATCGAAAGGGTCAACAGGTGGGCCGAATTCGGCCGTTAGTATTATGGAACAATACTCGGACATTTTATTAGATATGGTACAACAAAAAATCCACAATTCAAGTATTTGATAGTTGGTTGAGAAAAATATTCTGTGATTGTATTTAGTCGGAGCGAAATCTCATGTGGAAGTTAGTTGATTGATTGTTGAAACATTCCATTAGGTATTTTTTTTAATGAGGAATTGTCGGTGTGCTTCCCTTGTAACTCCGGTTGTGTTTTTTTACACGAATGTTTATATTTTATTGGGTTTTAATATCGCAATATTTTTATTTATGTAATGTACAATTTTTAACTGTTAGCTAGCTGTCATGTCAATTCTGTATAGGCTCACCCAGATGTAACCTCAGACTGTAATTTTATAATATAAGTCTTAAGTCCAATAAAATTATTGAATAACTACTCATTTAACCATAATCACCCTGTACATGTACAGTGGACTGCAAAAGTAAAGTCGCAAATTTAACTTTGTAGATCACTGTACATTTTTAACACAACTTGTCGAAAAATTAGGAAAAATTTATTTTTGACAGTCTTACACAATATTTGGCACTTTTCCGCCCCCGAACGGGTTTTATGGCAACCACTCGGCATTGGGGTTAATGGTGACTAATCTACTCTTATCGGTGTTATCATCACCGACATTTTCGGACACTTTGTTGTAAATTTTCTTCGCCCCTCCAGCCACATATTCGACCCCATCCCCGATTTTCTCCCCAGCTTTCTTAATAACACCAGCTACAGAGTGTGCCGAAAAAGTCTCATCGTCGATGTTGATATTCGTCCCGTTTTCGCCCTTGGGACAGTTTTTCTGACTGATGATTGACAAATCGAACGGGTCGATGTTGGCCGCGGCCAACTTTGACCTCACCTGATTAAAAAAAATAATAAATATTAAAAAACTAAAAATTATAATCAAACCTTGTCGATATAGATTTGTTCTAAAACCTTCTCCCTCGATAAAATCGTGGCCGATTGCCTATGGGCAAATCCCAGTTTTTGACAGGTAAAAATCCCAGCGTAGGTATCGTAGTCGGTCATGAAAACGGTATAACTGGCACTTCCGGCCACACTAAGCGGAAATCGGACTTTCATCCGGCCGGGAATGGCCTCATCGGGGATTGACAGACGGCCAGTGTAGTGATATTCGTGTTTCAAGGGTGTCAGCCCTAGCACGAAATGTTGGCTAGTCTGTTCCAGGAGGTACTCCCCCGGTTCGTCAGTCTCGGTGAAATTGTAGGTTATGCAAGTGCTCGCAGTGCTGGTTTTTTGGACGACGTACCAGATTCCCAACATCTATAAAAAAATAAAATATTCATTATTCAACCTTAACCTTGCTACAATTAAATTATTTATCAAACCATGAGCATGACTTGACATTCTAGAAAGATAACTTCGTTCCAAAGCAATTAGTTGGCCATGAAAAGACAATTTAGAATGTACAGAGGACTTCAAAAGTAAAGTGGCGACTTTAGCTTTGTAGGCAACTGTACATTTTGACTCTCAACGAGAATTATAGTAACTCAAAAATTGGTTTTTAGTTACGATTGCTTATGTAGGGCCCAAAATACAATAACGACAAATTTTTGTTTGAATAAACTAATTGTTGACTAAAATTTCGACCTTCAATAATATTAAACAGTTCCTTGATTTTTTATTAACAATCGAAGATAAAATGCAATTTTTTTCGAAACTGCAATTTTTGAGTTACTATAGTTTTCGTTGTGAGAATCGATTTGAAAATTTTGAAAGGAACTGAAAAAACTGTTTTCCATCCCTCAATTAAATTCAAGGCGTTTTGGCACTGATAATTTTCGGATGCAGTAGACTGCATAAGTATGGCAGAAAGTGGCCACTTTTGTTTTGAAGTCAACTGTACATTTAATAAATAAATCAATGAGAATTTAAGAGTTTTATTTTTCCGTCAATTTCCAAAATAAACCAAAGCAAATTTTTAGAAAAGTTTTTTTTCAAGATTTTGTCTTTAATTGTGTCTTTTATTTCAGTTCAAGATTTTTTCTCTTAATCTTTAAAATCATTCATTTGTGAACACTGATATTATTTCTCCAAAATTTTGGGATTAGTTATTTTAAAAAAGCGTTTGTATTTATTTAAATAATGTTGGCCATGAAAAGACAATTGAGCATGTACAGGGGACTTCAAAAGTAAAGTGGCGACTTCAGCTTTGTAGGCAATTGTACATTTTGACTCTCAAAGAAAACTATAATAACTTATAAAAATTGGTTTTTAGTTACGATTGCTTATGTAGGGCCCAAAATACAAAAACAATAAATTTTTGTTTGAATAAACTAATTGTTGACTAAAATTTAGACCTTCAATAATATTAAACAGTTCCTTGATTTTTTATTAACAATCAAAAATAAAATGCAATTTTTCTCGAAACTGTAATTTTTGAGTTACTATAGTTTTCGTTGAAAATTTTGAGACTTTTTTTACTTATTCTTGTCTTTTTTATGATCTTTACTTGTCAAGAATGTCTTGTTTTGTCACAAAAACAATGCTACCAACTATGAAAAAAATATTCTAGTGTATCTGGATACAAATTATGTAAAATTTATATTAAAAATTATACAGGCTGTTCTGGCTAAACCCCATTATAAGTACTGGGAGTTCTAACAATGATGTTTATCTAAAATTTTGTTTATAGCCATAATCGGTTAGGTTCTGTTCAATGAAAATATTTTCAAGATGGCGACACTTCTGTTACACCGGATGTGGATATCAACTTCGTTATTTTAAATAGAAAGGTATGTTTTTTATTGCGTTTTTGGATTCTAAGTTTAACCGTTTTCGAAATATTTAGACCTTTTTAAAAAATTTGAATTTGAATCTTCCTATTCGAAAATCGATAACTCTAGCATTTTTTATTATGTTGAAATCGTATTTGGGTATGCGAGAGAGAAAGGTTAGATCTTTCCTTTGGTATATTCATAATTGGAAAAATAATTAACAAACCGCTAAAATGTAGGGGTACGTTTAGGAAACTTCAAATACCCTTAACTCAATTTTTCTAAATAAAACACCCCAAATTTTTCTTCACTAAATTAAGGAGAATTTAGTTCTGCTTCGATCTGTATTAACATTCCCTATACCTATGTTTGATAGTTTTCAAGTTATAGTAACTTCTTTTAATATTGTGAGAAATTCATTTAGCTACTTTAGCATAGGTTTTCAAATAAGAAAAAAATAGAATATCAAAGTTATTCATATTCAGATTAAATAAAATTAATGTGTATTTACGAAAAGAGTAACACAATTGTGAAAAAAAACTTGGCGTTTTTTTCAGTGAGAAATATTTCTTTCCATGGCAAACTATGCGAAAACTACCATGGATATAAATGAATTTTTTCAATTGTAAAAAAGTCAAAATAACTTGGAAATCATTAAATTTAGGTATAGGGAATGTTGATACAAATTGATGCAGTATTAAGTTCTCTTTCATTTAGTGAAGAAAAAATTGGGGCTTTCCATTTGAAAAAATTCAGTTACGGGTATTTGAAGTTTCCCAAACGTAACCTTTAATTTTGGAGGTTTGTTAATTACTTTTCCAATTACAAATACACGAAAGAAAAGATCTAATCTTTCTTTTTCATATGCCCAAATACGATTTCAAAATAATTGAAAATGGTGAGATCGATTTTTTGAAAATTTGGATTTTTCAAAAAATTTCAAAAAAGTCTAAACAGTTCAAACATTTTTGAAAATAACAAAGTTGATCCATTTCCGGTGTAACCGGAAGTGCTGCTATAGTCAAAATTTTAGATAAATATTACTATTAAAATACTTCAAGTGTGCATAATAATAATAATTTCTCCAATTTTTTATTGTACTTTTTTTACTGACGCATTTAGTTAATCCTACAATAAAAAAATATTTAAACGTGAGATTTATACAATTATGATAAGATTAAGCCTGAGTGAATTTATCATAGCTGAGATTTTTTTCTATACTTAGAATTATGTCAATATTTGGATAAATAATAAAAGTATTGACTGACCTTTTTCATGCTGAACCCCGGCATGGGTTCGATGTTGGGGCACCCGCCCAGATGGTAGGTGTGCCCCTCGCAGCCCCAAAACCCTGCCAGAAGGGCCAAACCGGCCAAAACTACCCTCAACTCGAACATTTTAACTCGCTTGTTTCTTATTAACTGAATGAAACCTTCACGGCTTGCTTTTTAAATAATAAATGAGTGGACTACCGGTCAGTTGACCAATCAGTTAGAAAGCATGATTTATGGTGTCTCTGATTGGAACAAATCGGTTTGGATGACGCGAGTATTTACAACTTGTACGATTTCACAGTCGATTAGTTGAGTTGTTTGGATAGTGAGAGAGAGGAGGATTGAGGAGGGTTTGATTGGGTGATTGCTTAGTTCTTGGAATTAGTGAGTCATTGAGTTGTTTGAACCGATTCTTCTTAATCAGTTTGTGGAATTATGCTAATGGTTTGTGATGGGAAGTTGGTGAATAAGTTGTGATAGCTTTTTGACTCGTGTGAGTCATGATTTGCGAAAAAATAAAGGCGTTTTGGCATTGATAATTTTCGGGTACAATAGGCTGCAGAAGTATGGCGGAAAGTGGCCACTTTTATTTTGAAGTCAACTGTACATTTAATAAATAAATCAATAAGAATTTGAGTTTTATTTTTCCGTCAATTTACAAAATAAACCAAATCAAATTTTTAATCAAAAAATCGTTTTTCAAGATTTTGTCTTTAATTGTGTCTTTTATTTCAGTTTAAGATTTTTTCTCTTAATCTTTAAAATCATTTATTTGTGAACACTTTGATATTATTTCTCCAAAATTTTGAGATTAGTTTTTTTTAAATAGCGTTTGTATTTTAAATAATGTTAAATTTTACCTCAAATTTTGAAATTACATATTACTAATTTTTAATTTATTTCCAATTTTTATTACTATCTTAAAATCTTGAAACCTGAACTTGGGAAAGTTTTGGGTTTAATAATTGAAAAAACTTAATTTTTGTTGCTTATCTTTATCCTTTATTCAAAATTTTTACTGTTTTAAAATCTTCAAAGGTTATAAATCATGACATCATAACCGTGCGAGATCTTGAAATACTGTAAATTTCTTCTAAAATTTTTTTATGGAGAATAGTTTCTTATTTTTCCCTTTTCTTTTTTTAATTTTCCTTGATTTTGATTTTTTAAAGATTTCTTGTACATATTTCACATAATATGCCATTGCCTGATTGATTTAAAATAATAATAGTTGTGTAATCTTCCATCATTTTTTTCAAGATTCTTGTTTAAATTTTCTTTTTTTTTGGAAATTATTAATTATTATTATTATTATTTTCAAATAATGTTTAAATTTTACCTTAAGATTTGTAATTGCAGATTATTTCTCTTTATTTTTTTCCAATTTTTAATACTATTTCAAAATCTTAAAATCTGAACTTTGAAAATAAACACTTGCGAAAGTTCTGGGTTTAATATATGAAAAACTATTTTTTGTTGTTTTACTCGTATCTTAATCCTTTAATAAAAAAATTACTATTTTTAAATCTTCAAACGTTATAAATCATGATCATAATATTGCGAGATTTTGAAATACTGTAAGATTGTTTCTATAATTTTTTATGGAGAATAGTTTCTCATTTTTTCCTTTTCTTTTTTCAAATTTCTTTGATCTTGACTTTTAACGATTTCTTGTACTTCACATAATATGCATTGTTTCATTGTCCCAAAATAATAACAGTTGTGAAATCTTTCATTTTATTTCAAGATTCTTGTTTAAATTTTGTCTTTTTCTTTGAAATTATTAATTATTATTATTATTTTCAAATAATGTTTAAGTTTCACCTCAAGATTTGTCATTGCAAATTATTAATTTATTTTTTTTTTCGAATTTTTATTACTATCTTAGTCTTGAAACCTGAATTTTCTAAATTAACACTTCCCAAAATTTTGGGGATATATTTCCAAAAAAATTATTTTTGTCGCTTTATCTTGATTTTTTAACACAGAATTTTTACTCTTTTCTAAGATTTTTGCAGATCTTGAAATACACAAAGATTTCTATTTTTTTTCTATCATTACTAATTTTTGTCGTGCCTTTTTATTAAACTTTCGTGGATGTTGTTTTATGTAATATGTATATTGTCTCAAACTACTAACAGTTGTGAAATCTTTTTTTTTTTTAATTTTGACTTTTTCTTTAGAATAAAGTATTATTAAAATACAAGTATCAAAAAATTAGTAACGTCATTTCTTCAAGATTTTAAAGTTTGTTATTTCAAAGTAGTCTTTGTTTATNAATTTTTTTCTCAGTATTTAAAGACGCTTCTTTTCTTAAAATTTTGAAACCAAAACTTAAAAAACTCACTTACTTTGATTTTTTCAGTCGAGATAAATATTTTTTTAAGATCTTTAAATTACTTATATTGTCTTGATCTTTGTTTCAAGATTTAAAATCTTGAGATTATTAATACAAACAATGTTCACATTTTTGTTATTTTAAAACTTTTACGATCCTAAAAGGCGACCTTTAGCCAGTCAGACTAATATTTAATTAGTCCATAAATAATTAACGCTTAAGATACGAAAAAAAATTTCCCCGATAAAAAATAACAATTACTTTTTAATTTTATTGTATTTATTTAGCATACACCTATAGTTTAAACTCATAAAGAAATGATAAGCGTTGACGTTTTGATAATTATTTTACAAAATTAACAAAAAATTACCACTCAGTCACTCCACAACTGTTTCAAACGCAACCAACATGAAAATAATTTTTCTACTCTTCCTATTTTTTCTAATAAAAACCTCGAGTCAAGTATGCCGTGTACGGCGACCCCGACCCCATATCATCGTTGTAATGGGCGACGACATGGTAATTCTCTTATTAAATTAATTAACCCATTGTGGTAATTATTTCAGGGGCATAACGATATTGGCCTCCGGAATAACCAAATCCCGACCCCAAACATCGACGCTTTGGGGTATAATGGGGTGGTTTTGGACCGCTACTACGTCCAGAATGCTTGTACCCCATCCCGGGCGGCTTTCCTCACCGGAAACTACCCCATCCGGTCCGCAATGCAAGGCTTACCAATAGTCGCCGGCCAAAACCGGTCCCTACCCCTCGACATGCCTCTAATGCCCCAACATTTGAAAAATCTGGGGTACAAGACGCATATTGTGGGTAAATGGCATTTGGGGTCGGCGTATCGGAGCAGTACCCCAACTGAAAAGGGGTTTGATACGCATTTTGGGTACTGGAATGGGTTTACGGGGTATTATGACTATTTCACGGATTTTAACAGCACGGTACCCCAATTTCGGGTGAAAAATGCCTCAGTTTAAGTTCGTATATTCGCAGGCGATTGAAGGGTTTGATTTGCATGACCAGTTTGAGACCGAATGGGGGTCCCAGGGGCAATATGCCACTAGGGTTTTTACACAAAGGGCTTTAGATATTATAGAGGGGCATGATACGACAAGACCCCTTTTCCTCCTAATGACCCATTTGGCCGCCCATGCTGGGCGCGATGGTACCGAATTGGGGGTCCCCAATGCGGATGAGACCCAACGGAGGTACTCCTACATTCAGGACCCCCGTCGGAGGCTCTATGCCGGTACTTAATTAACTAATTAATTAACCAGTTAATTAATTATTTGTTTGAAGAAATTGTGGCCGAATTGGACCGATCGCTCGGAAAAGTCGTCAAGAAATTATCCGAACGCCAAATGCTGGAAAATTCCATCATTTTGTTTTTCTCGGATAATGGGGCCCCCAGTGTGGGGCCTTACACAAACTCAGGGTCGAACTGGCCCCTTCGAGGGGTAAAAAAATCGTAAAATTTTGCCAAACCTGCAATTTTATTTCAGATCAAATTGACCAATTTCGAAGGGGGGATTAGGGGCACAGCGACTATTTTTAGCCCCTTGTTGAAGAAAAGAGGTTACGTTAATAACCAACTAATACACGTTTCTGATTGGTTGCCCACTTTTTACGCAGCGGCAGGTAAAATACATAATTGTTTTTATCAGTTAAAATTAATTTGTTCTAATTTTAAACAAACTATTTTTAGTTTTTTACTAATTACTTTTACATAATTTTTTTCATACATACAGGATGTCTCAAAACTCGCGCCTCAGAGAAAAATTTCACGTAAGATACATGAACTTGGGAAAAATTCTGTTATTTCAAAAAAAAATTTGACATTTATTTTTTGACATTATTTAGTAAAGGTTCAAAAATTTTGACAATAAAAGCCACAAATAACATTAAAAATAGTTATAATTTAGGATACAGCTTCATTGTTTTTTTCTTCTTATAACTTGTGGCAAAAAAAACTTGAAAAATTAAATTTTTCCAACAAAAATAAATAGAGTCAAAGTAAACTCTCATAACTTCGAAATTTTTATAGATAGAATTTTTCCTGTTTCTAATATGTTACCTTACATGGCACCCTGTATTTAAATTCTGAAACAAAATTTGAATTAGGCGCCACTTTTGGGGCGCGAAATTCAAAGAAGTTAATTTTCCAGGGGGGAATTTGGCCGATTTGGGGCCCATTGACGGGGTCAACCAATGGGAGACCCTCTCCCTGGGCACCCCCTCTCCCCGTTCCGAGCTCCTCGTCAACATCAACGAACAAGACAACACCACATCCATCATCACCGACAACGGCCGATTCAAACTCCTCACAGGTACCAACCCACAAACACAAATTCCACTAAACTTTTTATTTAGGGGTTTTTGAGGATGGCCAATTTGATACATATTTCGGCGATAGCGGTCGCACCCCTGGCACACCCCCTTACGACCCCTTCGCCGTCCTCCAAAGCGACACCAATGTGGCCATTCAGGAACTAACCCAAACACCAATCACGCGCCGCCAAATGCGGGTCACGAGGGCTCAAATCGACCTATCTTGGTGTCGAAATGACTCTTTTAGGCCGGCTTTGAATTGCTCGCAATCGTGTCTTTTTGATCTAGAGAGCGACCCGTGCGAGACTAGGAATATAATTGAGGAGAATCCGGAGGTTGGGGAGAGGCTTTTGAGGCGCATTGAGGAGTTTTTTGGGGTTTTGGTGCCCCAAGGGGACGCCACTGTCGATCCTAATGCCAATCCTCAACGGTATAATAACACGTGGTGCACGTGGCTTGATGACGAGTGGTGTGTCAAAACACCAAATAACACCAACTTGATTTAAAGAAATACATTTTTTTGAACAAAAGCGGTGTTTTTTTTTACATTTTGTTTGTGGTATAACATATTTATGCACATACAAAACAAAAAAATTGAATTTCCCTATTTTTGGGAATTATGGGCAGCGGAATATTTGAATTTTATTACTACTACAATTAAAAAAATGTAAAACAAAGGGACTAATTTAATTGTGATTAAGATTTTAAAGGTGAAAAACACAAAAAGAGAATATGTACTTAATTTTTAAATTTAATATTTATTGTAGAACACCACTGATCTTTTTTGAAATTATAGTTGTATTTATATTTTTGATATTTTCGATTTTATCAGAAATTTTCTCGATAACTATTTTTCGTACAGGGCTGATCTTTTTTATATGTATGTATATGATAGAAAACTAAATTTTCTTTTCAACAGTACCCAACATAAGAGGTTATCATTAATAAGTCCAGAGTTATAATGACAAAAATAAAAAAAAAACAACTTTAAACTTGATCCATATAACGTTGTTATTGGGTCAAGTTTAAAAATTACGATTTTTTTTTGAGTTTTTCAAGGTGAGTGGTAGTAAAATCGTAAAAATAGACAATTTACTAAAAGTCGTAAAAATATGGTTTTCTAGACGTAAAATTACAGGCTGAACAACAAGTTAAAATACATACTTAAAAACGCATTTAAAGTTTCACAATTTTGACAATTTTTTATTTTTGAACGACGATTACGACCAAACTATTAGACTTAGAGCAAAAAGCTCAACACCATCGTAAGCAGCGTAAAAAAATCTATCGATTAACATCAAAGCAAAGTCAATAATTCGCAAAAAAATTGAAACTTTAAACGCCGATTACGGCGAAAATAAAGGAGATAGCGCAAACAAAATGGTTGGAAAATTCGTAATCAGCGTATCAAAATCTATCGTATAAGATAGGTTTAAATTGAATCTGAGACATGTTCAAAAACACTAGTTTTTAACGCGGGGGGGTGTTAACAAATTTTCACTTTTTCTTATTTTGTAAATTGCGAAAAAATTATATCTCAATGGTACAATATTTTGACCAAAATCATATGTAAAATGTTTCGGGGAATCGATTGGCGTCAAGAAAACCGCAAAATTCGTAATAGTTTTTAAGTTATATACATATTTAAATTTTTGATATTTTTGTCTTTATCACAAATTTTCTCGATAACTATTTATCGTAGAGCACTGATCTTTTTTGTATATGATAGAAAATTAAATTTTCTTTCCAACGGTACCAAATATAAAAAGTTATTTCTAATAAGTCCGCAGTTATTGGCATTAGACCGCTCCGCGTACCGAAAATCCAAAATTTCGACAAAAATCGAAAAAATTAAAAACTTCAAAATTATCCATTTGCACTCTTGGATGTTCAAAAGACTTAATAAAGCACAAAAACATTGTAAAAATGCGAAAAATAAATTTTTTCGAAAAATTTTGTGTAAAATATATTGAAGGAAAACATTGAAATTATCGGCGGCTGTGGTGGCTCAGCGGTAGGTCCCGAGTTCGAGCCCTGGTCAAGTTGGCAATTTTTCTCAAATTCAAATTCAATTATAATTCAAATAAATGTCAAAAGAGGGCGGGCGCATAAGAGCGCGATCTTTAAAAACATGTGCACATGTTCTAATAAGTAAATGTAAGAGAGAAAGCGCACAATACTAACTAAAATAAGCACCAATAGATGGCGGGCGTATAAGAGCGCGAACTTTAAAACAAGTATCTACAAAAGTGAAAAAGTGAAAATAGTGTAAAATTAATTTAATAGTAATATAAGTAAAGAAAAGGTAAGTTAAGTAAAATAAACGAAAGGTAAGTTTTGCATTAAAAATTAAGGAATTTTTTTTATTAATTATTGTTATTATTACTAATAACCCAAATGATTTACATAAGTGTACTAGTGAAATAGATATAAGTAAACAAAAGGTGAGTAATATAAGGTATAATAAAGTAAAAGTAGCATGAAATGTATACAGGTTCTTAAAAAAAGAAATATTTCAGGAGGTAGTAGTACGGACCAAAACAAACAAAAAAAAATTAATAATTTAAGGTCCGCAAAATCCGCCAAAAATCGACCAAAATCCCGACAAAAATCAAAAAAAAAAATTAATTTTAAAGTTGATTTATATAACGTTCTTTACATTTCTAGAGGTCTTAGAGACTCAAAAGTGCATAAAACGTTATTTGGTCAAGTTTTAAAAACTTCGAATTTTTTGAGTTTTTAAAGGTTTTTGCTAAGGTACTTAGTGACGATTTTATCCACACTGGCGGAAATTTCAAACTAAAAAAAATGTCTTTTTTGTTGTCTCAAATCTGTGTCAAATATTTATTTACATGTTATTGCTTTTATTTAGAATAGAAAAAAAAATCTTTTTTATGACTTTTGGAGCTGATTGTAATAAAAATATTTAAATTTGCTGCCATTTTCTCCTCTGACGTCATTTTGTTTGGCGGGAAATTTAAATTAAAACTTGAAAAAAACGCATTTTGTGTCATTTATAGTCCGAAAAAGAAATTTAATTTTTGTTTTGAATTTAAAACGCATGAAATATAAACGGAAATTAATTTTTTTGACCTTCGATAACCCGAAGCAGCTGCGAATTACATCAGCAAATAAACTTTTTTTAATTTCTCTTCTTTTCAACTCACTTTCTTCCCACTTTTCCCTTTCCAACTTATCGTAAGACCAAAATTTTTTATTATTATTATACACGTGACTTCCTTACTTCTATGCTTTCCAGTATAAGGCATAAATTCCAACTTTGAGGCGAATTAAGTGTGAATGACCCTCAACTTTGACGATAATAACTCAGACAAGAATAAACCACACGCAAATACGCATTTATTAAGTCTGGGCTAGACATTATAAACCCTTATCTTATCTTTCTAGAACAAAAATTTAAATTTTCAAAAAATGAAACGCTTAAAAAAGTACCAAATTGTTGCAATTGCAGCTATTATGGTTTGTTTTTTGGGAGCCCTCCTTTAGTAAGTATTTAATTCTTTTATTTAATTATTTTTTTTCACAAATTTTAGTTTTATTTTAACTTCCTCTAAGGCAAGCACCGCAAAACCCCACATTATTATTATCATAGCCGACGATTTGGTAATGTTGATAATTTGCCCTTCAACCTAAACCTAGCCTAACCCTTTCGTAGGGCTACAACGATGTTAGCTTCCACGGTTCGGCCCAAATCCCCACCCCCAACCTGGCCAACCTGGCCACAAAGGGCATAATCCTGGACCGGTTTTACACCCAAGCGACTTGTACCCCTTCTCGGACCGCCCTTCTCACTGGAAATTACCCAATCAGATCGGGCATGCAGGGCTACCCTCTCAAGGCGGGCGAGAACCGGTCCCTACCCCAAAACATGCCCACAATGCCTCTCCATTTCAAAAATTTGGGCTACAAGACACATCTTGTGGGTAAATGGCATTTAGGGGCGGCTTATAGACAGGATACCCCATTGGGGAAAGGATTTGATAGTCATTTCGGGTACTGGAATGGGTTCGTGGGGTATTTTGACTACTTGGCGTTCAGTAAAATGGATAATGGGACGGTGGGTGGTTTTGGTATGAGCGATGGGTCTTTTAATGGGTTTTTAGTTGATTAAAGGGTTGGATTTGCATGACCAGTTTGAGCCGGTTTGGGGTAGTCAAGGGAGGTACGCAACTGAGTTGTTTACTGAGAAAAGCTTGGAGATTATTGAGAGGCATGATGTGGGGGTACCCCTTTTCATGGTCGTGTCCCATTTGGCCGCACATACGGGTCAAAACGGGACAGAATTAGGGGTCCCCGATGTCGACCAAACTAACCACAAATTCGCATATATTCAAGCCCCCAGACGCAGACTTTATGCCGGTAAAACAGAACCCTGCATTTCGTAACATTCAACGTTGCTTTTTTCAGAAATTGTGAGCCAATTGGACGCTTCCATTGGCCGAATTTTGGCCAAACTTGACGAAAAACAAATGCTTGACAATTCAATCGTTTTGTTTTTCTCAGACAATGGGGCCCAATCGGTTGGAATGTATGAAAATTCCGGCTCGAATTGGCCCCTACGAGGGGTACCCGACCCCAATTATAAAAAAAATCAAGTGACGTGCGCATTTTAGGTCAAATTTTCCGACTTTGAAGGTGGGGTACGCGTGGCAGCCGCCATTTATAGCCCACTTTTGCGGAAAATGGGCTATGTGAGCGACCACCTGATCCACATCACCGACTGGTTGCCCACTCTGTTCTCCGCCGCGGGTGGGGATGTAGCCCAATTGGGCAAAATCGATGGGATTGACCAATGGGACGCCTTGAGCAACAACAACCCATCAAACCGTTCCGAAATCCTGGTCAATATTGACGAAGTCGACAATAATTTTGCCATAATTTGGGACAAATTCAAACTACTCCAAGGTAACCCCAAATTTGGATAATTCTGGATAATTAATTGTAATTCAGGCAGTTACAATGAGGGTCTTTTCGATCAGTATTATGGCGAAAGTGGCCGAGAGCCGGAAAATCCGACCCCAAACCCGAATGAGACCACCGTGGACTTGTCTTGGTGCAGAACCCCAAACCAGACCCCAATTTTAAATTGCACGGGGGGCTGTCTCTTCGATTTGGACAAAGACCCGTGCGAGACAACAAACATTATCGATTCAGAACCAGAAATAGCCAAACAATTATACGAGAAAATCGAAAAGTTTTGGAAGGAGTTGGTACCCCAAAGAAACAAAGACACCGACCCAAAATCAGACCCCATTTTCTACAACAACACGTGGTGCACGTGGCTTGAGGACGCCTGGTGTTACAAAACCACAAATATTGAGCGAATTAGTTGATAATTTTGTAAAAATTTGTTAATAATGAATAAAAGTATAGGCACTTTAGTACAGATGAGTATTGTTGATTGCATACCCAACCCAATAATTTTTTTAAACTTGTGGTTAGATGAGATAAAATGTGACTACTTTATGAGTATGGGGACTAATAATTGAACGGTGGTATTCAATTTGTTTAAATTGTTCTCAATTTTTTAGTTTTGTTTGTGTTTTTGTTGTTTGGTGTTGGCGCCCTCTTTCGGCATTTTCTTGGCGCTCGATTCAAAATAAACTCTATTTAAAGTGAATTTTTCCCCGTTTTTTTACCAAAAACCGTTTCAGAGTGTTTCCCCGTTTGCCTGGCCACCCACAGAGTGTCCCCTAACCCGCCTCCGGGGTTTTTCCGGCCCCCTCAACAAATAAAATCTAATTGGAGTAAAACCCCAGCCCCGACTTGTGCAACAAAGACCGGTGATACACTAGCACGTGAGTGTAAGCGAGACATCGCGATGTTGTGTATCTTAACCCCGGTCATCTGTTCTTTCATTTTTAGTAGCGCTTTCGCAGGCGCTTGGTGTGGTTGTGTTTGCGTTAAATTTGCAAAATAATTTACGAATCGTGCGTAAAATCGCGTGTGAATTCGTTTGAAATGTCGCAGAATTCGTCTGCCGGCAAACGAAACTCCTCCATACAGCTGGTGAGTGGTTTTTCTATGGATTTTATCGCAGTTTCAGTCGCCATAGTGTGACTTAGAAAACTCACGTAACTCGAAAAGTCGCCATGCCGTCACGGTACGGTTTTCTGACGTTTTCGGACCATTTTCCACGGGATTTTACCCGATTTTCCCAATTACATGTGTCCAAATCGCAGGCGGTTGGGTCCAATTGTCATAACAAAAGAACGTCGTCAAGCTGACACGGCCACTCGATGTGTGCTAGTGTAATTAATCGACACGTTACAGTTTGAGGATTTTGAGGATTTTTTCGAGGGATGAGACTTTTCGCTTGTTTTGTGATAACACGTCGTGTTTGTACAGGTGTGCCGTACGCCTAATAAGGATTTGGAAGTTTATTAGTTTGTAATTTATTTTGTAAATTTACAAAAAATGGCGTTTGTAATTTGGGTCAGAATAATACACAAAGTTTTGACAGTTCTAGTGTTGTTTTATTAGTCACGTGATGCAAAATGACACTGTGTCAAATTGGTTATCAAGGTCGCCATGACTACCACTCCTCAAAAAACACTGGCGTTGTAGTCTTATAATAATTATTATTAATTGCCCAAATTAAAGTATATTTTGTGGAATAAAAAAAAACATTTTTTTCAAATTGTACATTTTTGTATGTTTTTTTCCAAACATCACTGAATTAAGAAAAAAGGTTTTTTTCAAGATATAAAATGTAAAAAAAAAACAAGTTAGCCTTGCATCTTCAAAACCAATGAGGGTAGAAATTTGAAAATTATTTCAGACGATAAAATTTAATACTTTTAACTATGTACCAAATTTTGATACAATTTGTTTTTAAAATATTTGCTGTATGTATAGTTTTTAACCACCCTGTATGTAAAATTTGAAAATCCCAGATTAGTTGGAAAGTCAAAAGCAAAAATTAAATTAAATAAAATCAAGTTGGCTTTGAATCCTCAAAACAAACTGGTGTAAAAATTTGAAAAATATTTCAGACAAGGTTTAAATGTTTTTAAACATGTATACCAAAGTTGCATACATTTTGATTAATTGATTGTAAAATAATTCTGTATGCATAATTTTTGGGCGTCCCTGTATATTATAAAATTGAAAATTACGGATTTTTTCGATAATCAAAATGAAATATTTAAGTTAGAAGTGCAGAATTAGAAAGTTAAAAATTAGAAAATTGTGTTGATTTGGAGGGGTTCCGGATTCTGGATTTTTGAAAAAAAATCAAAAAATTGTCCGGAAATGAAGATTAATCGTACTTATTATTTTTTTACACATACTTATTGAAGTGAGTTACATCACTGAATTAAGAAAAAATATGCTGTTTTTCTAAATTCTAAAAATCAAGTCAGATAATAATTAGAAAAAAAATATCCGGGTCTTCAACGTCTGGAAACGGTATTTTTAAACGTATATACGAAATCTGAATACAATTTGAAAAATTGCTTTTTTTTATTTTTTGGGCGTCCCTGTATATTATATAAATTTCAGTCAGAAAATCATTTTTTAAACGCTCATTTTTTTTTTTTTTAATACTTATGAATCTTTTATTTGTTGAATCAAACTTCCGGCGGAAAATGAGAAAGACATGAGTGAAATAATCGGCTTACAAATATTGTAAAGATGCCAAGCACGAAAGTGGTATTTTCGTCCCTCAGTGACTCTAATCGATACACTGCAGTGCAGAAAAGTGACATCTGCAACAAATAAAAGATATACCATCGACTTGATTAAAAATTGCATTAGATCTTTGACGATTTTTTCCGTTTCTTTGCACAAATTCGTCAAACCTCGGAACTCTTTATAATTCATTTGCAACGATTTTGTTGACATGTTTTCAAAGAAATCCCTCGATGCAACTAGTTTCCAATCTAATATTAAATCGGCCGAATTTCCGCTCGATTTGTTCCCGAACAAGGGATTAGAGATTACATTCCCGAAATATTAGTTGAATTAAAAATATGAAAGGAATAATGTTGCACTTTCCTCTCAGTTTGTCCTAAAAACTAATAAGAGGTAGTAAAAGTCACATTAGCCGTAATTATTTAAGCAGATGGGAAGATTGAAAATATATACAGAATTTTCAGACCTCAGATAAAACACAAAATGTAGGGAGAAATTTCGGGAATTAATAATTTTTTTAATTTCAAAATTCGAGCTGAAAAAGACAAAATTTTAGCTTTAAAAATACTTTTTGTACAAAAAATGTTAAATTTTTTTAAAAAGTTCGTAGATTTTTCAAAAAATCAAATCTCGATCTACAAGAACCGTTTGGGAGATTTAAAAACTATTCAGAAATACAGATTTCTACAAAAATCTAAAAATTTGTTGAATTTTAAATTTTTTTAATCAGTAGATTTTTCAAAATATAAAACTCGCATTTTGCTGGTTTTCTAAACTTTATTTTCAAATTATTCAAATAAAATTTTTAGGTACAGATTATTTTAATACGCATATTTGCTTTTTACGATCGTTTTAACTTATACCTAAGCCAGAAAAACAATTATTTTGCAAAATTGTGTCAAAAAGAAGCCAAAAACCCACCAAATTATGGCGAGAAAATAGTTATTTGTTACTTTTTTGAGCGTTTCAACACGTTTTTGAGTTGAAATTTCAATATTTTTCAAGGTTTTGTTTAAAATGGGCGAAGAATTATAAACTTTGTTTTTTTTTAGCGTTTTAGTACGTTAAATTTTGACAAAAACAAGCTGAAAAAAATCAAATTTTTGGCTAAATTGTTTTTTAGTTAAAAATTTTGTCAAAAATTTATTCTAATATATCTAGTTTTTTTTTTTTGGATAAACAAGGGCAAAAAATAAGTAATTTGGGTCAAAAATGAATTATTATTTTTTTCAGTTCATTTAGTTCGTTTTTCAATTATGACTACAATTGTTTTGCAAATTTTCGTCAAAAATAACAAGGGAATAGGGATTACATTAAAAAAAATGCCAACATTGAAACATGTTTTGCTGTTTTTTTAGAGATTTTTGTACTAAAAATACAATTATTTCTCCAAATTTTGTCAAAAATAAAGTTCAAAACTAGTTACTTAAGCGTTTTCGAGTGTTTAAGCACATTTTTGAGCTAAGAGTTAAGTTTTTTCCGACAAATTTAAGAAATAATTTTAGAAAAACAGGGCTATCCAACTTGACTGTTTAACTTAATAATCATCAAATTAGTTGAAAAATGATGTTATTTTTTATTTTTCGGTCGTTTTAACTCAATTTTGAATCAAAATGCAATTAATTATTTTCATCAAATATCATGAAATTAGATTGAAAAAGTGTCATTTTTTTTGTTCTTTGATTATGTTTTTCAGTTAAAAATTTTGTCAAAAACTAGTCAAAAATTCAACAATTTTGAGTTAAAAATGAGACATTTTTGCGTTTTCGAGTGCTTAAGCACATTTTTGAGCTAAATAAAGATTTGTTATAAAATTTTAATATAAATCAAAATAATTTATTATTTTTGCTTTTTACGACCATTTTTAAGTCGGAAAAGCAATTATTTTACAACATTTCGTCAAAAATAAACCAGAAGTCAGTAATTTAAATTGAAAATTTGTTACTTTTATGTTTTTCGAGTTTTTATTTTAAAAAAATCTAGTTTTTTTTGGCTAAACAAGGGCAAAAAATCAGTAAATTGGGTCAAAAATGAATTATTACTTTCTTTTTCAATCCATTTAGTGCGATTTTGAGTTGAACTGCAAATTATCGTCAAAAATAACAAATATGAGTTGCATCAAAAATATGAAAGCAATAATGTTGCACTTTCCTCCCAGTTTGTCGTAAAAACTAATAAAAGGTAGTAAAAGTCCCATTACACGAATGACTTTATTGTTTCAAATAGTTAATTTTTGACATTCTCGTTTAAAAAGATGCACTTTTCGCCCGTCATTACTTTGGGTGCTGAAATCCAATTTTGGTTCATTGTCAACTTTGATGAAATTTCATAGCCCTCCTCCCTCGCCCTCGACGCATGCCCGCCGCCACTTTTCAGGCGTCGAGTCGGCAACTTTCCCGATTTCAGTACCACAAAATGGCGCACAGGGGTAAAAAGCTCCAGCGCTCTGAAGATCGTCAAAACTACATCTCTCGCATGGTACGTGTGTCGGGGAAAAACCCACCCATCAACCCATAAACCCAATTCAGTATATTGATTTTCACGCGCACTTGATATCGATTGAATTTTCCCCCCGACGAGTGCTACAGGTATTTAATGTTGTAGAGAGAACGCAAACAGAAGAAACTTTATTCGGAGGATTGGGCGCTAGGAGATGACGAAATCGAGGGCCGGAGATCTTTCAATCTCCAGGAAAAACTGGAAAATCCGCTTTTCGCCACGCATAATATCGTCAAGGAAATGCACGGGAATGAACTGAATGTGGCGTATTTTCAGAAACATGGGTTCAATACGCCCCTGTTGTTCAAAGAGAAGACCGGATTGGGTAAGAGAAATAAAAAAAATCGAATTTTTTTTTCAAAAACTTGTCGTTACAAGTCGGAATCACACTTCTTTATCGTCGTCCGGAATACTAATTCAAAGAGGAGTTGTTGAAGTCGAGAATTATTTCAAAAAACGCTTTTCGATATTGTTACTTTCTCGACATAAATTTCCATTTAAGTTGCACTTTGTTGTTTCAGATTAAAGTTAACCTTATTTAAAGCTGAACTTTCAAAGTTAGATTTATTCCGGTCGTAGATAGTTTTATCAAGCTTTGCTCTTTTGTGTACTTTTCTCATGGAGACTGACATTTGACCTCAGTGGAAATATCAAGTGCGAGAAGTGTGCCAGAAACTCGATACAAATAACGATTTTTTTCTACCACCCTCACAATAAAAAGTTTAATTTTTGATATTACTATTACTAAAAGTGAGTAAATGTTTTTTTTTCCGACGAATTAATAAAGTTAAAATATACCGGGTGAAACGAACCTTTGAAACGCTCTTTTCAATAAATTTATTGTTTTTTTGCTTATTTCGCTACTATTTAACGTTAATTTTTTGCTTAAGTATATTTTATCGTAATGAAGAAAATAGATAATTAAATGTTAAAGTACAGTTCCAAAAATTAAGCCAAAAATCAAAAATATGTATTAGTCGTGGACAAAATATAGTATTCTAGTCGCATAATAGCTATTGTTCATTCAGATTTTGCGAATATTTGCCTTACGGTTATTTAATTACTTATTTAAGAGACAGAAAATATATACAGAAACACCAGCTTAAAAAATCACTAGACCTGTAATAAAACAAAAAATGTAAGGAAAAATTTCGTCAAATTTTAGATCAGTGATTTTTTTAATTTTAAAATTCGAGCTGCAGTTAGGGGACTTAAAAACTATCCTAAAATTTCAGCTTTAAAAATATGTATTTCAGTTTTGTAAATACCAAAAAATGTAAGAATTTGTTGAATTTTACAGAAATATAGTAGATTTTTAAAAAAAAACAAAACTCAAGCTAAAAACAGTTGGGGAGATTAAAAAAACTATTCAAAAATGCAGGTTTTCACAAAAATCTAAGGATTTGTTGAATTTTTAATTTTTTTAGTAAGTAGATTTTTCAAAATATAAAATTCGCATTTTTTCATTTTCAAATTATTGAAATAAAATTTTTACAAATTAATTTTGATACGCATAGTTGCTTTTTACGATCGTTTTAACTTATATTTAAGCCAGAAAAGCAATTATTTAAATTTCGCCAAAAAAACATGAAATTATGTCGAGGAAAAAGTTATTTGTTACTTTTTTGAGCGTTTCAGCATATTTTTAAGTTGGAATTTCAATCTTTCTCGAGGTTTCGTTTAAAATGGGCGAAAAATTATAAACTTTGGTTGAAAATGTCACTATTTTTGGCCTTTTTGAGAGTTTTAGTTCGTTAAATTTTGACAAAAACAAGCTGAAAAAAATCAAATTACATCGAAAATGGTGTTATTTTTGTCTTTTTGGAGATTTTAAACGCATTTATTCTAAAAAAATCTATTTTTTTTTTGGCTTAACAAGGGCAAAATCGGTAAATTGTGACAAAAATTAATTATTATTTTCTTTTTCAATTCATTTAGGCGTTGTTGAGTTGGTTGAGCTGGTTTTCTAAACTTCATTTTCAATTTATTCAAATAAAACTTTTACAACTTAAGTTTGATAGGCATATTTGCTTTTTACGATCGTTTTGACTTATAAGTACGACAGAAAAGCAATTATTTTGCAAAATTTTGTCAAAAAGAAGCTAAAAAAAACACGAAATTATGGCTAGAAAACAGTTATTTGTTACTTTTTTGAACGTTTCAACACGTTTTCGAGGTAAAATTTCAATATTTCTCTAGGTTTTGTTTAAAATGGACCAACAATTATAAACTTTGGCTCTTTTGAGCGTTTTAGTACGTTAAATTTTGACAAAAACAAGCTGAAAAAACTTTAATTACACTGAAAATGTTTTTGTCTTTTTGGAGATTTTAAACACATTTATTTATCCCAAAAAATCTAGTTAAGGTCAAAAAATCAGTAAATTGGGTCAAAAACGATTAATTTTTTTCCTTTTCAATCGATTTTGTGCGTTTTTGAGTTAGGACTACAATTGTTTCGCAAATTTTCGTCAAAAATAAGTGAACAAACAACCAAATTACATCGAAAATGGTGTTATTATTGTCTGTTTTGGGCTTTTGAACACATTTTTTAGTTAAAAAAATCTGATTTTTTTTACAAGATATAACTAAACCAAGGCAAAAGTGAATTATTTCTGCCTTTTCAATCGTTTTAGTACGTTTTTGATTGACTTGGGACCACAATTATTTCTCAAAATTTCGTCAAAAATAACCTGAAAAATAATCCAATTACGTCGAAAATGGTGCTATTTTTGTCTTTTTCAAGCTTTGAAACACTTTTTTAACCTGAAAAATCAGATTTTGTACAAGATTTAGCTAAACCAGGGCAAAAAAATCAGAAACTATCCACAAACACCAGCAAAAAAACTTCAGAATTGAACAAAAAAATCTAAGAATTTGTTTATTTTTTATTTTATTTTTTCAACTGCAAAAGACAAGAAGAATAAGAACACTCAGATCATTACAAAACTCGCATTTCGCTTGTCTTGTAATCTTCATCTTCACTAGTAACAACCATAATTATTTAATTATTAAATTAAAATTTTTGCAAATTAATTTTGTACGCATTTTTTGATCTCCAAAAAGTAACAATGAGATTTTTTGGTGAAATTGTTTTTTGTCAGTTTCATGGAGCAGATAAATTAATTAAACAATTTTTTTCCTATTAAGATATTAGATATCAATTTAGTGTAATAAATACAGATTGTTGCGAAAAATTGCAACTCCATATTCTACACTGGAAAATAACACTAATAAAAAAGAAAATGCAAATTAAAAAAAATAAATAATCGTTTTGACTGGCTCACAAAACCTGTAAAATTTTATGAAAATAACTCAACCGGTTAATTAAATTTTTTAAATTTTAATTATATATTTTTTATAATTTTTTAAGAGTGCGTAATAAATATTGCTGTTTGCTCCTGGGTTGAATATCCGTTTTTTTCTAGGCTTGCGCGTCCCGACGTCGAACTTCACTATCAACGACGTCCGCATGTGCGTCGGTTCGCGTCGCATCCTCGACGTAATGGACGTCAACACGCAAAAAAACAGCGAAATGACAATGAAAGAATGGCAAAAGTACTACGAAGACCCCGCCAAAGACAAACTCCTCAACGTCATCTCCCTCGAATTCTCCCACACAAAACTCGAGAACTACGTCCAGAGTCCAACAGTGGTTCGTCAAGTCGACTGGGTGGACTGCGTATGGCCTCGCCACCTCAAAGAAAGCCAAACCGAGGCCACCAACCTCCTCGAAGACATGAAATACCCCAAAGTCCAAAAGTACTGCCTCATGTCGGTCAAGGGCTGCTACACGGACTTCCACGTCGATTTCGGTGGTACCTCCGTGTGGTACCACATCCTCAAAGGTTCCAAAGTCTTCTGGCTCATCCCTCCCACCGAACACAATCTTGCTTTGTACGAACGGTGGGTGCTTTCGGGTAAACAATCGGATATTTTTTTCGGGGATACGGTGGATAAGTGCGCGAGGATTACCCTCACGGAGGGTAACACGTTTTTCATACCCACGGGGTGGATACATGCGGTTTATACCCCGATGGATTCGTTGGTTTTCGGCGGGAATTTTTTACATTCGTATGGAATTGATAAACAGTTGAAGATCGCCCATGTTGAGGATACCACCAAAGTGCCGCAAAAGTTCCGATATCCATTTTTTACCGAAATGTTATGGTATGTGCTGGAACGGTATGTCCATTGTCTTCTAGGGAATTCACATCTGACGACGGGACACGATGTGGCGATTCCGCCCGATCGGCCACATGTGCATCTGACACAAGCGGAGTTGCACGGACTCAAGGTGGGCATACGATATTTTTTCTACAATTTTCGTATTACGAGATTTTTTTCTACTGCCACTTCTAACAGATTTCGTAGGAAACTAAGGATTTTTTATCATAAAATCTCAATTTAAAGTCTTATTTAGTCAAGAGCTAAATATCGCTGTTAAAAATCTTTTTTTTGCAAAATTTCGTCAAAAAGAAGCCAAAAAATCACGAAATTATGGCGAGAAAAAAGTTATTTGTTACTTTTTTGAGCGTTTCAGCACGTTTTTGAGTTAAAATTTGAATCTTTCTCGAGGTTTCTTTTATGGGCGAAAAATTATATACTTTGGCTCTTTTGAGCGTTTTAGTACGTTAAATTTTGACAAAAACAAGCTGAAAAAAAATCAAATTACATCGAAAATGGTGTTGTTTTCGTCTTTTTGGAAATTTGAAACGCATTTGTCCTAAAAAATCTAGTTTTTTTTGGATTAACAAGGGCAAAAAATCAGTAAATTGGGTCAAAAATGAATTATTTTTTCTTTTTCAATTCATTTAGTGCATTTTTGAGTTGGAACTATAATTGTTTTGTAAATTTTCGCCAAAAACCACCAAATTATGGCGAGGAAAAAAGTTACTTGTTACTTTTTTGAGCGTTTCA